TTCTCGATAATGTTCTCTTGTATTTTCATTCTATTGAAAGGACCACGTACTGAAGTCTCATTTAGAATCCTACCATGGAATGTTCAATGAGACAAGTAGTGGGAAGTGATCTGAACTGGCAACCTTGATTTGAACAACCATATCTATAATAATGTTAAGCATAGAAAAAACACAAGAACTAGTAGATAATTAGTAAAACATAATAACTGATTTAACTTTAATAATTTATTTTATTTAATCCAATAACAATTACTAAAATGGATTGGAGGACCCAGGATCACAACTTCTAATTTATCAACTGAAAGAAATAGAACAAGCTGTCAAAAAAACTCTAGAATTCTTGAAATTAGTAAAATTTTACCACAGAATTTAAGATTTTGATATATCTAGGTGCCTAGATCGATGAAAAAGGCTATATCAATGGAAAGGTGTCGCAAAGTCTGAGAGCTACTGGAAGAATGTTCCACTTAATTCAAAAAGGTTTCAACAGAAGAGAGATGATAAAGAAAACCAAGTTATCCATCTTCTTGTTGAAACAAGTTGACCATACCAGTCAACATTCTTTCCCATCGTTTCTTACTCCTCGGATTCATGGACCCTCTCTAAACACAAGGGGCAGATCCAGACAATATATATATGTATATATATATATATATATATATATATATATATAAAATTTATTTAAAAGAAAATATAAATATATAATTGTATGCTTTTTAAATCTAGTTCATTTGATTCAGTACTAAAAACACAAAAGATGCAATTTTGTGAAATGAAAATAAAAATCTTACAATATTAAAATTTGCTCCAATGATCCATTGATTGTGAATCGCGTAGACAATCAATTTTACATGTTCTGTTACATCACTAATAATTGTCGCACATGAGCAAATAAAATATACATTGGCATAGGAATCAGATCCTTAGTGGTTGTTATTCAGATTATAGAGTATCATTTTCTTCACTAATTCTTTAAGAATACATTTCAAACAGAAAACATGAAAATCATTACACTATTTACAATTTCATATTTTTTTCTGCCTTAATATTATTTTTTTTATTGTTTTATTACTTATATTTATTAAATTGTTGTTTTGTTCTAAATTTTGAAACAGCTTAAATGGAATACCAAAACAATAAGTATTCACAAAATCACCTATCCATAATAATATACAATAAGTTATATATTTTTTTTCAAACACGTTTTCTCTTTGTTTTTTTTATGTTTTAAGCCTCAATGTCCAAAGAATTTTAAGTGAGTTCAATTCAATTTATAAATAGAGGTAGAAGATGGGTGTGCAGTATTCAGGGATCTAACAAAACAAGCCATTTAGTAAATACTTTTTACTGTTCTTTATAAACAATGAATATTACATAAAATAATAGTACATAAGTGAACCAATTTTTGTTTTAGGATTATAAAAATATTTTCCAAATACAATTTGATTTTATTAGCTTTAAGTTGGGGTGCTTATCCCTTCCCAAAGGTCGATGATGCATGCCTCCCCAAGAAATTTTATATCTCTCCATTTCTTAGATACAATGTCAGAGAAAGTAGAATTTGAGTACATCCACCAAGGGGAGTTTGGTGGGATGATATCTTGTGCGAACCATTATTCCAGGATATCGCCCTACCACCCATGTCTGAGAAGTAGCAAGATAAACTCTCTTTAGTTGATGTACTTGCCAAAAGGGGTCTTGACCCTGTATGCCATATCAAATCGTAAACATTTTAAATAGTTGTATATATGTTGTTAAGTTGTCCCGAGTGAAATAGTTCCAAAACGAAATGAGATAAATACAAATCCTATAAATAAAGATACCAACTTAATTTGTATGATTCTTCCGGTGATTTGTTAATACTAATTATAATCTAAACTATGTTATATGTTCCTAATTATAGAACTGATATGCTACATCAGCTGTTAGTTGCAAAGTGGCATAATGCATAACCTGAAAGTACTCCTTAGAGATGTGAAGTAATTATAAGTGCTTACAATCATAAACAAATTAATCTTTTGAAAATTATATCTTTTGTTTCATGATTTTATTAAAATTATCAGACTTATTTTGCTGATTACTCTTAAGATATTGTTGATTAGTCTTTAAATAAATGATTATATGTTCAAATCTTTTTTTTTTTCATCATCTATGTTCCCAATAGAGCTTGTAACAACTTATCCCAGTTGTGGTAACTTGTTTCCTTTTTGTTTTCCTGTATATTAAATTTCATATAAAAACATTCATTCTAGGTACACCCAAATTTATAAAGAAGGATATGTATACAAATTATAAGCTGACATTAATTTTGTTAAAGGTATTCCCAAAAGTCTTTTAGATTTATAAAGAAGAATATGTGTACAAATTGTAAGCTAACATAAAATTTGTTTATTTTATTTTATTAAAGGTACACCCAAAAGTCTTTCAGATTTATAAAGAAGAATATGTGTTCTAATCATAAGCTAGAACATTTTTTTTCCACTATTTTAATTTTAAATATATCTATTTATTGAATTCAAATTTTGTGTAACATTGATAATTTTCTCGGGGTTACTCAATGTTAATATTTTTTATATATAATGCCATCATTATATGGATTTAGAAAATTCCTTCTCTGATTTTTGTAGGCAGTGCATTCCATAATGATATGTTGGAGTGTTTCTTTTTGGTTACATTTATATGAATTTTTAACTCCAATGCTCTCCAGGGATACTTTGCATAGTCCATGATTTGATCTAAGTCCAGAAAAATTTATAATTATATCTTTTAGTAGGTTTAATCCGAAGAACCATGGCTTGTTTACAATTTGCTTGTTTACCATATTTTCTTTAATAATCTGAAAGTAATCTGTGTATTGCAGTTTGACATCTGTAACATGAGGTATTTTAGCAAGGCGGTCTACCTCTTTAATTTCCGGTATTCCCTTGTGCACTTCGACCCACATAAATATTATTTATTGTTTATTGCATTAAACTATTCTTTGATAACATTGGCTAAAATATTGTTTTTGTTTATATTGCTATTATTTTTAATTGCTAATATTGAGCTCATTCTGTCAGTTATTATTACAAATTTATTTTCACTAAATGTGTTTCTGAAATCGAGAGCTTGTAATATTGCTTACGATTCAGCATTGTAAATATATGTTATGTTTGGTAGTTTCTATAGAGCAGAATATTTATATATTGGGATTTAAATGGGAGAGGCAGTCTCTTGTTTTTGGATCCGTCTGTGTATATACTAATATGTTATGGTCAGTTTTCTATAAGTAAAGATTTTATGTTTGTATTTATCATAATTGGGGTGGAGTTGAATTTAGTGTTAATTATTATATTAAATATTCGAAATGACAAATCATATTCAAGTGTATATAGAGATAGTTTAGAATTAGAAAATAAATTGTCTGTTAATTTTTGATATTTTATAAATCTATCATAAATAAGAGGGACATATTGTTTCTTTTTCCTTTAGTTAGGATGATTACTCACATTGATACTATTTTATTATAGCATTGGTAATTCGTAGGTTTTACCTCAAAAAACATCCTTCTAAACTTTAAATATGTTTCACCAGCCTTTTAAATATATAATACGTCTATTTTAGTAGAATTTAGAATCCCCAAGCATCTACTTAAACACCTATTATATATCGTATCTAATTTCTTTAAAGTACTATCTACCTTACATCTACCTTACATTGTACTACCTTAAATTGTAGCTCCATAGTCAAATATTGAACTAATGGTACTTCTATAAAATAATATAGACATATTAGGATCTACCCCCACTTATTATTAGAACAAATCAGTTTTATTGTTCCCATTAGTTTTTCAACCCTCTTTTAAATACCCGTTATGTGTGGGTTCCAATTTAATTTTCTATCGAAACAAGAGACCCAGAAAACAATCTGAGGTCACACATGGGAAAGTAATTCCTGCCAGAATTAGTTGAACTTCTGGCGGGAATGCATGTTCTCTACTGATGGGACACACTACAGATTTAGAGACCGAAATATACATGCATTTATCAAGCTGCCATCTTTTGAGATCCCTCACTGTTTCTCTTAACAACTCTAGACCCTGCATATAGGAGCACTATAATATCCCCATGACCATCAATTTTAATCCCTTAGATTCTAGTGCACTCTTGCTTGTGTGAAGGAGATGCCCTATATCTATCTATCTGTTTGATAGCCTTTTGAATTGTTGAAAAATTTGTGTTTGCTGCAAGATTTCATCACGGCCTCTCTATTAACTCTGTGTGTGTGATACAGTGTTCAATGTATTCGATGAATGGAGGGAATTAGAACGCCATGCACAGAGGAGTAGCTCAGTATTTAGTTTAATAGCTATGATATTATACAATTATGAACTAATCAATAATGTTTCTCTTTTTGAGTTATATTTAAGTAAATTAGAGCAAAATATTGGAGAATCTGGTCCCCAGGGTGCCCATAAGGGAGTTTCATGGCACAAGTTGCGCCATCAAAATTTTTGAGGTAGGCATATTTCGACGGCGTTATGAATTTTAGGACTAATGGACAAGGGTAACACATGGAACTGACAACAGCAAGTGTAATTATATAGGATCTATGATTTTTTATTTTTACCTTAGCTTGCTCTGTTTTTAAGAAAGGTGAGAAATAAAATATTTTGGGAAAAGGGGAGGAGGTAGGTTCTTGCGCCATGCCTTGGGAGGGAAAGGTAGTCTTGCTGGTCTCCCTTCATGAAACATTCAGGGGAGAGGAAGTTACTTGTACCCTTACTACTATGACTACATCAAACCATAAACTTGAGGTTGTTGTTCTTCATAATTTGTTATATCGGTCTAACAAAAATGTAGATTGTTTGTATTAAAAAGTTAGATCAATTATTATCTTCAATAATTTTGTTTTCCGTATCATGAATATTATGATAAAAATTTAGTAGCCAAATGTCCCCAATTCGAAACATATATGATTTCTTAACAAACTACTAACATACAGTTTTATAAATAATAATCTGTTTTAGTAATAACTCAAATATCCCAATGATAACATTATTATCTATAAACCACATTAAAAATTTACAGCTTGTTTATGATATTATTCACATTGGCATACAAAAGTATTAATTTTTTAATGCATAATGAATGCATGGTAAGAAATGTTATGACTTCAAATCCAATACTTGAAACAACTTTCGATAACAGTGAATTTCTTATTTGTTTTTTTTTATTTCACGTTACCATAAAACATCATTTTTCTGGAAAGTTCAAATTATAATGAGTTGTATTTTTGTAAGATTGTTTAGGAAGGCGGAGTCTATTACATTTCTGCAGGAACTGTTCCCGAGACCGCCGTTCTTCACTTCTCTGCTCTTTTAATCGACCATGATCAATTATAGTGAAAGGGGTAACTGATTCTGAACAATTCATTCCTTTCGAATGTTTTCTACTTCCGACATCTTTTTCATTTCGGAGAGGTAAGTTGTTCATGTCACATGTATAGGAAATAGGAACATGTCTCCCAATAACTAACTTAATCCCTATGTATTTACAACAAACGTCACACACAGTAAAGACCCACCTTTTCACAATCGACAGAGAACAATGAATTGAAAGATCTTTCTTTTCGTGATAAAGACAACCGATATCTTTGGTGTACGAAAATACGTCTCGTTCTAACAGATTCTTTATTAAAGGAACTGATGAATAAATTGAAGGGCAGCATTTGTTGACGATTTCGAAAACTAATAAAGGGAGGCAGTAAATTCTGAACTCTGTGGTTGAAATGTCCAAAAAATCAGTGATCATCTTCAAAGCGCATTCTACAACAGAAAAACGGTCAATTGTATTGAGGGGGTCTTCCAACATTGTATAAAAAGGAGGAGTTTCACACCCACATGAATATTTTTTAATGAATCTTTTTATTCTGGCGTACATCTCTTCTGGATTCTTCAACCCTTCATTCCAATTGGGATCATTAATGGGAATGCCATGAGTTCTAGAGGACCATTCCGATGCCTCATGTTTGTATCCCTCAGGGATTTGCCCTGGATCTACAAAAAAACTTTCCGCAGCAATAAGTCCTGACTGCAAACTGAAAGCAGAAAAAGCTATTTCTGCAGGATAATAAAATTTCTGTTGGGTTTTGTAAAAATAGTTAGCGTGACACAGAAAAAAAATATTGTTCCTTGCATTACTTTGTTCATCCACGCCGTTGAGCGTATTCCTTATCGTCTCAATCATAGTTTTGCTAGCTTGTTCTTTTTCTCTTTTTTCAGCTTCCAAAGTTGCATAGCTGACACCAAAAGATGTGAATTTCTTTGATGGATCTTCAACAACCCTAGTCGCTTTATGGGAAGCCATATTACTAAAAAATTATACAAAACTACTAGTAGAAGTCAGTTTAAAAGAGCTTATGAATTTATCGATTTAATAAAACAAAAACAATTTAAGCAGCTGTAAATAAAATACAAAGTTTTGATTGAGTCATTCACATAATAATATTTCCAAAATGGAAAATATTTTTATTAATATCAATATTGGTTTATTTATTAACTTCCATTCTCACACTCAGATGAATATCTTTACTTTAAACATAGTTAAATTTAATATTCACCTTCAGATTCCTACAGTCCATGATCAACGGATCGTACAATTTATAATCAACCGGTGATATAATAAATAGGGCTTTTGTTATTTTAATGATATTTATGATTTATTAGATGTTGGGCCGTTTGTCCTATATAACCTCGTTATTTTGAAATTTTGGGGGTGTAGACCACACCAAACGGCTCAATATTTTTTAAGGCCACCTTTTTTCTCGTTTTTGTGATCAAATTATCGTGCGATCCAAGTAGAAAGCAAATCTGTATTTACGAGTTTTTAGTACCTAATTAAATAGACAAAGTTTGCCCCTATCCAAATCGAAAACGCCACAATTACAAGAGTTTTCGTAAATAAAATAGTTGTAGGTACGATGAGGCGAAACTATTTATGAAGTTTCAGGCGGATGTTAATAATTCGATAAAAAAGGGTCTGTACCACCGGCTATTCTTCTTTCACACAAGAACAATAGAGTGGAAGTGGATATTGTTGGAATATCACAAAGAGAACATTCATCAAATATTCACTAATTTAATTTTCTAAAAAGTTACATGACAATATTTCGGAATAAACGGACGTTGATACCTAATTATTTAAATATAATATCAGATCTAGAATTATTAAACTACAGTAAATGTATTTAAGGTTATAAACATATGCTTTATATATCCATGAAATGATTTTATATTTCACTTCTTCTTACACACAAGTATAATGAAATAGTATTTTAAACAATGGCATTGGCTTGATTCAGTTGATTTATAATACTTTTTTTTTCAATCTTAAAAAAACATTTAATAGTTTACATATTGTAAGAAATTTTCATTTAATTTTCTTTGAAACATGTGATATACGAATAATGTTAGTTTTCTGAAATTATTATTTATAATGTTTTCGCCACTCTCCGTTGTCTTCTACAACTTTCTATATTAGATATTGTTTTTTCTAAAATTCACAGCTTTCCAACGATATATTATACGTTATACCTTCTGACTAGTAATTCCGGAGATTCATTTTCGACCTGGATAACCATTTTTATTTTTTTTTCTCCTTATTCAATTATCAAATAATTTCAAAAGTTATACTTAGCATTTTTTCGTAACTTTTAATAATGTGAGATGATTGATTATTTAAAATAAAACATATTAAAGGTACTTTAGAGGAAGACGCATATGAATATTGGGTATTTAAGTCATGTAAAGTGACATCAATAAGACCTGATTGAGACTATAATGATTCACCTAGTTTAATCAAAATCGTTAGAGCCGTTTTTGAGAAAATTGTAAAAATGTGTTTCAGCGTAGAATTTTTGAGCTAGACTGCTAACATACAAACACACAGACATTTTTGGACTGATTATTGGCTACCCATAACGTATATTCGTTGAAATATATTAATAAATTTACGATCACATACTTACTTACATATATTACATATATATATATATATATATATATATATATATATATATATATATATATATATATATATATATAGAGAGAGAGAGAGAGAGAGAGAGAGAGAGAGAGAACTTTTCAATATATCATTATCTACATATAAGCATGCAGATACTCCATATTTCTAAAACCGTACTGTGTCCATATATTGCTTCAGAGATCTTACTAATCCTTCAGTTAATTGTTAACTTTCTATCCCCGTTTTTATTATTGAATGTTAATTTTATTGATAATGTCAACATTATCTTTATATTGATCAACGTCTTTCTCAAAGCTTATCACATTTTTTGTATTTTTAGTTCCTATAAATTTGCTGTTTTTAGTATCTTATTTATTTAAAATTTCAAGAAAATATGTCGTGTCGTATTGATATTTTTGGGATTCTTGACAAATTTATATTGATTGATTCTTGTTTTTAAATTTTGCAATGTTTCACCTATATTATATTATTCTGGACATTATTTCAGCCGGATCTATCGCCGAAACAATTATAGTTAACCTTTAGAAGTAAAAAATAAGAAGATAATTACTATATTTATATTTCCTTAATCGACCTTTTCTTATTCTTAAACATACGTTTGTATCTAAAAATGCAATTTACTACATTTTTTTTCTGTTTTACCATTAACAGATTCATGACACTGGGTGCATCGGACCTCCACTACTCAAATTTTGAGGCTTATCAAAAATGCACGCCCCTGACAAGTGCCTCGCCAGCCATTGCATTCTGTACTCCCGAAAAAAATTATATCTACAAGTTCTAATGTACTAATTACTTTTAAATATAGTAATGTACTATTTTTTTTTTCTTCAAAACTTTTCTTTCATCGTTTCGAAGGCGCTGTTGCCTCGTTCAAAAGCAATTTTAAGTTGTTTTTTCTTGGCAATAGAGTTGACAGGACGATTTCTTTTGAAAAATCGATCTTAAAATAACCATCCCGTCTACGATTAGCAACCTTGCATGACACGAACAGATAAGCATGTGTGCTCATGGATAATAAGTTTCACATATACAAGTATTTCTGATTTTCTCCTACCAAATTATATTTTCTCTTTTATATTTTTTTTTAATCTTATTTATTGAAAAATATTACAATCTGTCTCAAGGACATTTATAATAGTGTTCACAGATCACATTCATACTCTATATACAGTAAATAAAATAAATTATACAGAAAAATAATATTTGAATAATAATATTAATGCCTATCTCTCGAATACCGATCCGTAGAAATGGTTGTAAAAATCTTTAACTTAAGTAGTTTGAACATTCGATCTATTTCTTTTTGTAAAATTATTCTTAAGCATCATATACAAAGTGTACAGGTTTATAATCACTTTATTTAGTTCATACTTCTCATCATTTTAAACTTCTACTGATTTCATCAAAGAAAATATTAGGAACTTAAAATTGATGACGAATAGCTGAACTAGTGTATGAAAAAAGCTAAGCTGTGTCACGAAATTTCAGAATAATCGTTTAAGGATTCAGATTTTTTTTTTTTTTATATATATATATATTTAGACTAGGAAAATATTATGATTGGGTCTTATTTTTGGAGCAGTTTTCAACGTATCATTACATTTCATAGCACCCTGAGTCCGAAAAACGCATTTTTGTAATACATCTATCTGTAGTGGAATTTTTTTTATTTTTAGGGTTTCGGCCACCGATCCTTCTGAAAAAATCTGGTTCTATCTGCACAACTAGATAGACTTTTATACTGTTGTAATATAAACTGCAGCACCGAAACTTCTCTAACGACTCACATAAAACTTTCCTAAAGCCTTTTACTTAAACCTCTTTCAATTTTCAGATATGTAGTGAATTCCCTAGATATAACATGGAAAAAGTTATGAAGAAAAAAATATTTTTGGGTTTGTCTCAAAAAGTATACATTTTACGGTAAATTTTATATATAATCTTTTGAAATGTAATTAAATTCCATACAAAATGGAAAAAAAATCATCGTAATCAACCAGTTTTAGCAACGATACAGATTATTCGATTTTTTCTACGTTGTATTACTTTCTTACAGGAGAGGAAAGTACTCTATTAAAGTCAAGTTTTCGATGTGTGGTTTTTAACAGAAAGTTTCAGAGATAAATAGCAATTGAAAAAAATAAAAATCATTCCAATCGGAGTTAGAGCTTATTGATTGTTTTGCGCTGGTTTTTAATGAATCTATTTAGATATTATATTATTATTTGTTTTTAATTTATTTTTTTATCTTCAGATATTTATCTGCATCTGTCGATGAACTGTTAACAATCAACAGATGGCCTGATAAATGTAATTATACGGGCATGTCAGACATAGAGATGTATCCTGTTATAATTATTAGAATTAGGTATTATATTATTTAATATCTATTTTTATTTTTGATATATTATGCCATTTGTACCTTCGCAGGAGTGCACCTATCAAATTTGATATATTAAGGATTATTTGTGAGATTAGCTTCATTTTTTATTTATTGTAGTAGTTGTCCCTCGGCCATTTTCTTTTTAATCTGCATCAATCAGGCTACAGGGAGCATGAAATAGAAAGAACTAATGGATTGAAGTGATTTAGAACTGAAGAGTGAAATGGAGTGTAGGATTTGCCGTGGATGTAGGATTTTACTGTTGGGATGTTCAAGTTGGTATGTATAGTGTTATTTGAACTGTACCAAGGTGCGTTGACAATTTTTCGTAGAATTTTTTATTGTGTTGTTTATATCATCTTGTCAATTCTTGCTTTTTTAATTTAGTATGTATGTTCTAGGTAAGCTTTTTGTCTAAGTAGAGTCCGAGGTACCGTACATAGTTTTTTGAAGGCACTGGGATATTGTCAACCGTCACGGATGGACAATGAGGTTTTCCTGAGAGAGTAAGTCACGTGGGTAGATTTGTTGCTATTGATTTTAATTTTCCGTTTTGCAAATCAATTTTGAAGATCATAGAGGTTGTTTTGAAGGGCAATTGATGCGATAGTAGGATTTTTGATAGAAGATAGAATTGCAGTGTCGTGAGCTAAGCAATAGATGGTGGTGCTAGGATGCTCAGGGATATCAGAGGTGTATAGCGAATACAGAATTGGACTTAAGACACTACCTTGTGGTACGAAAATGTGTTGAGGGAAGAAAGAGAATTCAGAAGAATCTATGGAAACGTTGAAAAATCTGTTAAGAAAGAATGATTGAAGAATGAGAAAATAAGTAGAAGGTGAAAGCAGTTTTAATTTCCATGATAGGCCCTTGTGCCAGACATTATCAAATGCTTTCTCTATGTCAAGGAAGACCGCAGAGCAGTATTTCTTTTTTTCAAATGCAATAGAGATAGTGTCTACTATCCGATGGCACTGCTGCACAGTGAGGTGATAACGACGAAAGCCAAACTGGTGATTTGGTATCACTTCACTACTTTCTCGGATAGGCTTTAGACGGTTCAGGAGAAGTTTTTCAAATATTTTTCCATAACAGAAAGAAGTTCAATAGGATGATAGGATGAAGAAGTGGTTTTGAAGATTTAGGAATAATTTTAATTGTGGAAAGTTTCCAAAGGAGAGGAAAAGAGGTTGTGCGTAAGATAGAATTGTAGATGTGAGTAAAAAAGAAAACAGCTGTCTATTTAGTTCTGCACATTTACCGATTGTTGCTATGCCCGTTTACTTCAGCTTTCAAAAGAAATCGTACTTTATTAACTCTCTGAACGTTCCAGATTTTTATTTGAATGATGATTAAATTTCCTTTACGCCAAACTGTAAAGAATAAATTAGCTTTAGATAAACTAATATAGGTACAAATATTAAGAAATGAACTAAATTAATAACTATAAAATATTAGAGTCAAAATGAGGTAGATATATTAAACATTTTTTTGAGTTTCACTTACTACTCTTTCATTTTGTGCGTTTTAATAATCGTTACAAAGAAGGATCGCTGCGCCGCACAGTGAAACGACAAACGGGTTTTCGTGCACATGAACTTAGAACTGGTAAATGATGTTGGATTAACTTGATATTTAGTACACTTATGTTTTCTAGGCCAAGGAACACAAATATGACGTCAAAATTAGAAAATTTCTCGGTTCATTTGTTTAAACATGTGAATTTTTAAATTTGATAATAAATTAACTTCGAAAATTATGGAGAATTCTTAAAACGCATAATTTTAGAGATTTATTTATAACTACTGTCTATATTACTACATATAACAGTTTTATTTTAATTTTAAAAACACAAAATATAATTATAATACATGTTTGTGTAATAACTTAAAGAGTGTATCGTTTATTAATTATAAATATTCATTGTATAATAGTTCTTATGAAATAATAAACATTTTGTTTTATTTTTATTACAAAAAACTTTTAAAAACATCGATAATGATATCTTGAACACCATCGATACTTCTCCGATGAAAAAATATGTAATTTTTTGATTAATTTCAAAAATTATATTAAAAATAAGTGATGCAGATCAAGTCATAAAGGTTCCACCTAATCCTCTCAGAAACAATTTACCGTTTTGAAATTATAACGACATTAAAAAAGAATAAGAGTTAGAGACAATTATATTTTATTACTAACAAACTATAATATTAGTGGAACAAGTAAATAAAAGTTGTTTTTTTCCCTTGATGCCGTCTTATACGGGTACTCATTGAATACCTTTTATTTAATTTTAAACTTTAGTTCATTCAACACCGTTAAATTTAAGTTCATTTCACGGTGTTGTGGTTTTTTATTTATTTAGATTAGAGCGAAAATAAAGGATGATTATGATAAAGGATGATGATGAGTTAAAATAATAATATAAAAGTTTATTCCTTATTTAGGTAGACAAAATCAAAATTTTAAAACAATGAAAAGGAAGATTTAATATTTAATGTTAATTTTTTTATTGTTTTGGTTTATTTATTTCTTTAAGGTATTTTTGAAAACAAGTAATTACAGAACCTTGTTTTCATTAAGCTCAATAAAATTCTTGAAACTAAATTTGATTCATGTCTAGATATAGAAGATATTAGTGCATACCTAGAAATTGTTCTAACATTTATACATACAAAAATAATTTTAAATATATTTTAACTACATTCAGGCGAACCATGGCGGTTTGAATTAATTCTACTTTATCTTTAACAATGACTACTAAAAAGTTGTAAGAAATCAATTTTCCGAAGGATATCGGAGCTTTTTTTAAATCATAATCTTTATAAAAATTTTATTTAAAACACATATTTTTGTTAACAAAATGGGAAAAAGATTCGAAGTAAAACAAGTTTCATACATTACTATATATTTTTCTCGTTAAGCAGAATGACAGTAAAAAGTTCATAAAGTTTCAAGAAAAAGGTATGAACCATCAACTCAAACCAAGCAATTTTACAAAACTTACAGATCTCGGAAAAATCCATTAAATTACTAGGTTATCAATTGAGCTATTAAATTAAAACAGTGAAAAATGTGTATAATAAGAATTGAAAATGTTCTCAATAATTTCAGATAATTGAAGGCATCAATAAAACAGTTGGGTTTGGCAGTTATAAAAAATAATAATAATTTTAGTCGATGTCGCGAGTTTTACCTTACTCGTCCCACTGTGCGCTAAGATCATTAATTTTGTGAGGGTCGATTGGACAATTTCAGAATTTAGCAGTATTTGGAAATGTTATTTTATTTTTATGCAACGCGTTAATATTTACTATTTTATTTTGTTTTGTTTGTTGTATGCTATATTTAACTTGATGATATTTTTAATCGATATATTTAATAGGGTTTAAATTTCCCCGAAAGGAAAGTTGTATGAGTAGAAACACCAGGTATTTTGATATGTCTCTGCTTCAATAAAATAACACAAGAGGACGATATTCAATTTCTTTCTGTTGATTTTCTTTAACGAAAAATTAATTTTCCTCAACAATGTAAGGCGTGAGATCGCACCTATCAAAATGATTTTTTTTTTTTAATTTTTTATTTAGATAAAGCATTTTCAAAACTAGTCAACCCAGCAAAGATCATTTCTATTAAAGTTACTTTACGCCTTCAGCATTCTTTTAATTTGCGAATTATTAATCAAAATATACCCTTCTGAATATTTTATTGTTAAAGTCGTCTTTAAATAGTAAATGGAGTTATTATTGGATTAACTATTAAAAACATTTCTCAAAGCTAAAGACTAAGATAAAGTAAACATGAATTTTCTAGGAGGATTTTAATGTAAAATATCTCGGCAAAGTGCCTCCTTCGTCATCTTGAATTCTGTACGACGCAACACATGGAACTGAACAATTTTGTTTACGTTATTGGATAGTTTTATCTCTGGAAGGTGTGACGTCCTACCGAAGTGGCCGGAGGTGACGGCCGTGAAAGCGATATTCCCGGGGTGGGGCTCGGTATTCCCGACTGCTCTGCCTGCCCCCTCCTCCAGTCCAGCTCTCTAAGAGCCAGTGTTGACGAGAGATCATGGTCGAGAGGATGTTGTGGTTGTTGATGCTGGTGCTCGTTGGGGCCGAGGGGGCCACCCTGAACCAGACTGTTCGGGCGCCATCCCTCCAGCCCGCCATCGAGAGGGGTCTCATCAAGCTGAGCCTGGGGCTGCAGAAGGCCTCGGCCGCCTCCACCGCTCGCGGCGAGAATGTCATCTTCGCTCCGCTCAGCATCGCAGCGGTCAACGCTCTGCTCCTTGCGGCTGCCACCGGCGTCACCAAGAAGGAGCTGGAGACCCTCTTTGGGGTCGACGGTGTTCCTCATAAGTAATTGTTTATATATTATTATTTATTATTGAATTAGAATAAATAATTACATAAATATTGCTATCTAAGCAGTTCATTTTTGTCTGATCCACATTAGTAATAGTAGTATAGAATTCGGCTATATCTGTGAATAAGTAATATTTTTCGAAAGAAACTGATAACGGGTGGAAATTCGTGCTGCTGTATACACGATAAGCTATTGATTTAAAGGTCAAGGCAGTGACAAAAACATCAAAGTTAATTAATGTTAAAATCTTGTATCTTAAATTTTAATTGTCATCAGTGAATATTTTCAAATCAAAAAGAATCTCTGTATTTTTTCTTCTTAGATTCGTTAAGTTTTCTTCAAGGATATTTAATCATACCTTCACCGTTAGAGTTAGTTGATGTAAGACTGTTCATTAGTCGGGATTTCCGACGATTTTTTTTTCCCGAGCTCCGGTCTGATATAACAGGTTCAGACCGACTGATTTAACAGGATATAAAATCAGATATCGAAACATTTGACTTTGCAGAAAAATATAAATAAATCTCAACAGATAGGATGTGCAATGATAAGTACTACATGGAAAATATATTATGTAAAAAATATTTTATTGAATCTTTGATTAATTTTCATTATTAAAAGGTTTAATGAAAGACAGTGATATTAAAATATGCTTCATTGATTACCCATTCATCGGTAATTTTGTTCTGGTCATAAAAAGTATTCTACTCGTCACATGAAAGAATAAATAATTTCAAGATATATGATATTAAAATATCGTTTATTGGAAACTTTGTAGATAATTTAAATGCTAAGTAGTGATATTACTTACAAAACAAAAAATTTAATTACATATTAGAAGTATATATATATATATATATATATAATGTATTTTATTAATTTATATTTATATATATTTTTACTGATCTACACTTTTGAATGAAGTTTTGTCAAATAATAAAATATGGTTATTCGATAAATCCAATGAATAACTTTATCCTAAACTCATCATTTATCTTTAAAGAAATAATTTTTTTTTTTTTTTTTTTTGACTATAATAACAATCTGTCTCTTGGACATTGGCTATAGTGAGGTAGGATGACATTCACACTAAAAAATAAATAAAATAAAATAAATAGAAACAAAATAATAATCAAAAGTATATACAATAGATAATAAAATAAAATAACCTAAAAACTAAGAAAATTAAAACTAAGCAAAAAAAAACAAAAAAAAACACATGCATACCTATATAAAGAAATAATTAAGCGATAATGTCAAATTTTTACTTCTGCAACCAATAGTTAAACCTTTTTATAAAAATAAATTAGAATCACATTAATCTTTTATACTTTTGACAGACCGAATAATAGAAACAATGTGGTTTTTATTATTCTTCCGGATATTTTAAATAATAGACTAAATTAATATTCACTTATCATCTAGTTGTTTAGTTTTTTTTTTACCTGTTTCTTGTTTGGTCCATATTGTTCGAACATTCTCAATGTTTTTTTGGCCTCGTCTCAGAAACTAGGGCAACAGAGCAAGCAGAAACTTGACAGTTCTTCCATTGAAAATGTTCTTAAAAAAAAATTCTTAACTGGTATTTTCTCATTTTAAATATTCTGTTTAATATCCTCCAATTAAATATATCTTTTTTTCTTCCTTGCGTTGCCAGGTGAATAATTCGCAGAAAATTTGTTCCCCTCATCGGCATATAATTTGCACTAGTATTAGTCCTCTTAATAAGTTAGATCAATGATCAAACATTATCTCTATTCAAACAATATTGAGGACATACTTTTAGTAGAAAGAATGTTTGATCATTTTTCAAATTTTATATGCTGAAGAGAAGTCCAAATATAGAGAACACCACCAATCAAGAGTGTCAATTGCTAAACTAAATCTCTGGGTGACAAACGATAACAAATAATTAATGGAAAAAGGTCAAAATTATGAATTAATAAATTAAATATCATTTACAAGCCCGCAAGTAAATAGCTTGTAATAACGTCTTCGCTGCTCAGATTTTGTTATCTTAGTCCATGGATATCTCATAGTGTGAGAATCTTCTTAATGGCTTAACGATGAGAAAACTTTGGAACGATCTAGGCTCCAGACTCCATTGTTCCTTCAGAAGCTTTAAGAATATTTTAGAAGCTACGTTGCATAACATTATCAGAAATCTGACCTTCAAAAGGCTCAGCGGAAGAGAGATACGATTGTTGTTGTTTGATTACGGCGAACCTAGCGATGTTTGCAAACCCACGGTTGTATAAATCTGCTATATCAAAAGATGTATTTGTTGTTTTATTGCATCGGGATCGATATATAATTGAAGCAGAATAGTCGAATGAGAGGACCTCGATTTGTCTTGATAACGGGGTTTAACAGTATCCATCCTGATGTAACTGAATAGAGGATAAGAAATTAATTGTTCGTCGTTTTATCGAATTTGTGAATAATTGTAGACTCTTTGTATTATTGTTCATGTACCAATAAAATTATGTTTCATAAATTGTATTTATTTTGCAGCCAAGATGATTTACACAGACTACTGTCAGATTTTATATTCAGCGTGGAAACAGATAAACAACTTGAGCAAAATCTGATGTCTGCAAATGGACTCTTTCCAGACTACCATAATGAAATATCCCCTGAATACATCGCTTTCGCAAAGAATTTCTACCAGAGTGAAGTTATTCCTCTCGATTACAGGAGGATGCCTTATGAATCCACAGAGTTCATAAATAGGTAACAGTATTTATTTCAAAGTAATATATTTATATACTTTATATGCAATTCATCGTATATATTGAACTTTTTCAAATACCCTTATCAGTGGATAACAGTATAATGAAAATTTCAATAATGATCTATGTTAGGCATACTGCTCCTGTAAGAGGATATCTTTAAGAAATTATTTTTAATTAATTTATTTTTTTGAAATCAACAGTGAAGGTATAATCAACTGTGCTTTAATTAACCCTGTGGTCAGAATAAAAATAGCTCTCCTTTCCCCTGTCTGTATTGTTTATGATTTGTTTTAGATTTGTTTATCAAATGAATTTAATTTAATGTTTTATTTGGTATTACTTTAGCGAATATCAGATCTAATTTATTCCTCTTGATTATAGGAGACAATTTTATTAATTAAACAAATCTTACTGGTTCGGAATCATCCAATGAAAAATTCGAAATTTTATCAATGAACAGCCCCATCTTTATTAATTATAATTTTATTTAACGCCTATACTATACTGTACATTGACGTAAGCTATGTTTATAATGTACAGGCTGTACATTATAAATATAGCTCACGTCAATCTATATATTAAATTTTATAAACGAGCATGCTCATATATTTATACAACATATATGTATTATATGAACCTTATCATTAATATATTAAATCATATACTTTTACATGCTTTACTCTCAACAAATAAATAAAAGGGCCTCTTTCATATCGTTAAATTATTATCGACAACTGTTTTCTATAAGCCATTTTAAACTTGTTGAGTGAAATAAATTCAAATATTAGAAATATATTTTCTAATCTATTTATATTTCTTTCCAAAAGTTTCAAAATTTTAATAACAAATTTAAAATAATATATAAGTATACATATACCTTATAGCAAATACATATATATTTGCTATAAGGTGTAAACAAATAAATAAAATAATATATATAAAATAATTAATACTTTTTAAAATCTCCTCATAGAAAGTATGGATGAAAAAAAAAAAAAATAATGTGTCCTTTATTTTCAGATGGGTATCTAACAGGACAGAAGGAAAAATACCGCAAATTTTGGACGATGTTGTCGAACCTCTCACGTCTTTGATAATTGCCAATGCTTTTTATTTCAAAGGAAGCTGGGAGCAGCCATTCATTGAAAAGTATACTAAAATGTAAGTTTTTCATTATTTTTGTATAAGGATTAACTTTTTTTTTTTTCATTTTAGCTTTATAATATTATGGAAATCATATTTGATTTCCTTTAGTTTTGACATTGTTTATTAAAAGCAGCAGTTCCTAATTTCTTTTTTCTTTACTGAATATATTACATTCTGTCACGGTTAAGAACCCCAGTAGTAGTGATAAAAGAATTAATTCTCGCCATATTTACTATAAATAAAAAAAATTAAATTGATTAACAGAAAAATAATAAGATTAAAATATACATAGACATAAGGGCTAGTGTTGCCCAAATGCGAGACCGAGACGAGTCTCGCAACAGTCATGCAGTTACTTATTAGCTTGCTATAGAGATATTACTGTATTTTTTTAGATAGGAGAAACCTAACTAAGCCCGAATGAAAAATTAGAGGAGTTAAATACAAAAGTATATTAGTTATACCAATTACTAACATTGTCAAGTATTAGTAACTATTTTGCCTTAATTATTATTTAAAAATTCGATTTTTTTTACCAGTCCTGGTCTTGGTCTTACAACAGTTAGGTGGGCTTGGTCTTACAGAGAGCAAGACCAAGACTGATTTTGGGCAACACTAATAAGGACATCCACGAGCACTCCTGGTTAAACACAAAAGGAGAAAAAACCAAATTGTGTTAGTAGACAAGAGACATTAGGGCTCAATACAAGACGTAAGAAGTTATTGTGAGGAATACTGTGACTCAAATCACTCTCTGATTAGAGTAAAACTATGTCAACACAATACTGATATATTGATAGGAGATCAATATGAAGTAAATTAAAAAAACAGTTGTCGAGTGGAACGAAGAAGACACGAAGTTTGTAATTTAAAAATCCTGAAGATCAAATACCAGCTTTAACTGAAGAATAAATTCGAACCCATGTACTCAGAGAGCCTAATGGAGGACCAACACAGGGAGAGGTTAAAAGAAGTGATAGTTATTCAGAATAAATAAGAAATGGTTCACAGAAGTATGTGAAAAAAAATAAACAGTAGAGGAAAGAAAATAAATTAAATTCCTCACCAAATTGATCAATCTATTCTGGACAATTATTGCAACAGGATGATTGCAAACCATTGAGAACAATTGGTAGGTTGGAGATATATGCGAATTCTATGTTGACATTAGGAAAGAAAGGGTGAAATACAAAGCGTATAAATATAAAGCGTGAAATACAAAAATGTTAGGAAAGAACATTTCCTGCAGCTTCTGGATCAAATGGATCACTTAAACGAAGGAGACATGGAACACACTGAGGATTTCTACCCAGGAGCCTTTTTTCTCGATTTAAAAAAACCTATTGGAAAGGAACTGTCTTGGTAAAACCATGACTAAAACTGGAAGTTCCCGGGAAGTTGATATGATTGGCCAAAACAAACGACCTTAAATGTTGATTCTTTGCACATGGAGAAGTATCTGAAGTCTTCAAAGTTCGAAATGGGTTACAGCTGGTTAAAATATCTACAAGGTCTCTAATGGCAACAGAAACAAAATGTACATATCCAAAAAGGACACTTATTCAGTTAAAGTAATTAAAATAACAACTTAAATGCCTGTACACAATATTTACAACAAACATTCATTTAGAGGACCTCCGAGACAAGTCTTTTCTCCATTTGTGGGGAGGGGAAGCAACACTCTAGAATTTCTTATAATTAGAGAACATTTTTGTTTTTCTTTCAATACACCAATTACCTTATAGGGGTGAAACTATTCATACTTACCTCTCTAACTTTTTCAATTCAATTCAACTTTTTCGTGACAGTATTCCATTATTTAAAATATAATAACGAAACGATGTACAAGATTCATATAATATACTATTTTCTGTGTATTAACTAATGCTGATATACTATTTACTGTCCTCTAGCTTTGATATACATAACAAATTCAATAAAATCCGCATTATGCTGATGCCTATGTCCTATTTTTTAAAATAATAATTACAATGGGTTAAATTATTTTGAATCGAAATATAAATCAGATCCGATAAAAAAAAATGATTCAAATTAAAACATAAGATAATTAAATGATCCAAGCTAACCTACATCTGATCGGTATAGCTCGTCATCGTCCCATTAAATCTATCTTTCTGAGTAAATTATTATGTCATCTGAACTGATTAGACGTGACTGAACGGGCTGATTTCCTTAATCTGTGGTCAAGACTGCATAAAATTATTCTGGGATAACGACCTTCTAATTGTTTTTCTCCTTCGCAGGCAGAACTTTACTATCAACAAGAACGAAGTTATAAAAGTGCCGATGATGGTGGGTATCTTGGAGGTGCCCTTCTACCAGCGCAAAGGGAGCCACAAGGTGATTGGGCTTCCCTACAAAGGCGGGGACTTGATCATGTACTTCGTACTCCCAGATAAGAACCTCACTGCCTTCGTTGAAAATCTCACTCTCGATTCAGTCAAAGAATTGATGAATCACACGACTCGCCAAAAGGTAGGTGCTACAAAAGTTAGATAAAGAATTATCATTATTACGTAAGGTATATTTATTTACCGATTTTTTTCGAGAATATCTTTGAGATTTTTATTTAAAAAAAAACGTGTGTCTGTTATGATATATGATTTGACAGATTAGTTTTTATACGGTTATAAACTTGCTTTCTGCAAATGGGTTTCATTTCACTTTTTTTTAATGAGTAATATACATTAAAGTTTTAAATTACTCATCCATACTATATTCATAAAATGAAATAATTAAAGTTATCTATTAAAATAAGAAAATAAATTGTATAAATATACGTTGGTCATAACTTTCTTGTTCTTATCCGATGGCGCAATAATCAGTATAGAATTCTGGCCTCTTCCACAATCCTCCACTTCACCCTGTGCTCGGCCATTTTTCTTCAAGTTATCCTCAGGTCCTCCTCCACAATTTCTGCCTGCTCAACCTTGGCCTTCCTCTCTTTCTGTTCCCTCCTAGATGTTCCGTAATAATCATCCTGATGATTCTACTTTCTTTCATTTTCTGCTCATGGCCCAACTATCTTAAGTTACCTTTCTTAATGATGGGGACAACATCAGGAGATTCATTCAAGTACATCAACTCCTGATTTGTTCGCATCCTTATTCTGCACAATTTTTTTTCCCACGTGTTCAGTCAGCAGCCACTCATTTATTGTAGTCGTTTATTAGGCATCACGTTTTAATTCCGTACAAAAATACAAACCTAATGATTGTCTTGTGAACTTGTTGCTTCAGACCTCATGTTAGATTCTTGTTCTGATAAATATTTTTCAGTGGCAATTAGCAATTATTAGCCTCGCTTTGATTTCCTCTTATATTTCAATATTTTCTGAGAAAGCGATCCCCAGTTATTTAAACATTGCTAATCTGTCAAAACGGTACTCTATTCCCTCCAGATAGTTATTTCCTTCTTTATATTTCGAAGTGGTCTTATGTTTCCTTTTAGAGACATTAATCTTCAGGCCTATGGTTTTCGCTGTTTCTTCACTTTTCCCGAATACTCCTAAAATAGCACTTTCTATTATGTATTTAATCAGAACTCCACCTGGGTTTGTGCGATTAGATGTCATCATGGATTCCAGCATTATATCATAGAGTACAGGGGATCTTCCCGTTTTACTCTCATCGTTCTGGCAAAGATCTCAGAAATATTTCTCTGGTTTCCGACAGCACCCTATGTGTTGTGCTGAGTCATATTGGTGAGCTTTATTAATTTCAAAATGGCATCTAATATTTGTATACTTTCAAAGAGATTCAATCGGTATATGCTATTGTATGCGTGTGAGGTGATGTAGCTCAACATTCCATTCGTAGCATTTTGCCATCAAATTTCGAATTGAGAATATATAATCGATTGTAACCCTGCTGTTTGCATCTTCTACTGTGAATACTATTCTTTGTGGTAAAAGAATAGAAAATATTTTATAAATTGCGAGAAAGTAATACCACTATAGTTTTGGCACTTGAACTTGTCCCTTTTTTTTTTATGTCGCCAAAATTTAGAGCAGAGTGTGACAAGCCTTCTAAGGCCCTCTAATTTTTATGTATTATTATTATATTTATAGCAACTTTGTCTCTAATATCTTTAGTCCCACACTCTGATACATCTTGATTACTTAAAATTATTTACTGCATAAATGCAATTTTAGGGAATTTGTATTTTCAACAATTTTCGAAAATCTCCTGATTATCGTCTGATTTGTAACTCACATATCTTTCATTATATGTTTTTCTAACATTATCCATTAATTTTGACTTGATGGTAGGTTATCACGGCAATCCCGAAGATGCGGGTGGAAGCCAGCGTGGAGCTGTCGAAAGCCCTGTTCTCGCTCGGGTTGCGCTCGCTGTTCAGCGGCTGGACCGCCAACCTGGACAGCCTCGGAAAAGGCAGCTTCGTCAGCGAAGTGGTCCACAAGGTGGCCGTCGAACTGACGGAGTATGGGACCGAAGCCGCCGCCTCCACCAGCGTCATCATCCACCGGGACGGCTCCATGCCGCTCTTCAGGGCCGACCGACCCTTCTTCTTCTTCATCTCCCACCAAAAGACAAACGCCATCCTCTTTTGGGGTACGGTCTTCAGGCCCGTTGTCTGAAGATTAACAGGCGTTTCTAAATATTACAGTAATTCGATTATCTCAATAATGTATGATCGAAGCTGAAATTTTTATATTCAATTATATTACAACTTATTTTTTGTCAAAAATACTTAAATTCATTACCTGAATCTGAAACTATACAATCCATTTATTTTATTTTACCAAAGACCTATTTAAAAAAAAAAAATTAGTAAATCCTGTAAATAATATTCCAATAATAATTATTTGTATACAAATATTTCAAACACGGAGTTATTAAATTTCAAATATATTTATATTTTATGAGAGAATAATCGAAAGTTTACACCATTTACGAGTATTATTTTTCCTTATAATGGATTGGTATATTTTATGTTAGAATTTATTGATTTAAAGGCTGTGAAATATTGGCTACAATTAAAAGTAGCAGTATAATAGCTCTTGAAACTCCAGGTATTCCTAAACTACTGTCATATTTGTACCATGGACATTTATTAAAGGCCAAGCTGAAGTAAAGTTGAGGTGTGAGGAGGGCCTTTAATAACTGTTCATGGTATGGTTATTACTTAATTTTTATTTTTATGTTTGTTATTGTTGATTATTTACTATCGTAATTATTATGTAATATACTCATTTTTATATAATTAAATAGGAGAAATTCTATTTATCTATATGTGTAATTTACAAAAGCAATTTATGCTACTTAAAATTGTTCTAGTCATTAAGAAATTCATTTTTGCTGTAGGTATATATTTAGCATCATATTTATATATAGATGGTTTATGTATCAAAATAATATAAGTGTAATACATTTTTTTTTTACACTTTTTACAAATGTGTGTGTCATTTTCAAGCTTTTATTAACCTAAGTAAATATAAAAAAAGTTTTACTCATAAAAATTTACCACTGGAGCAAATAATAAACTGGCCCCCTTTCTATTCAATATTTGAACAGTTGATCAGGTATAATGACATAATCATGACTTTTTTTTTTCTTATCCTCAAAGATGTGTAATTATAATTTGCATATTTTTCACTCCATCCCACAAAGTGAAAAATGTGAAAATCTCACATCTTTGGGGATTAGAAAAAATAATTCAATATTTTATTTTCCATTTTTGTCAATGTTAATTTATGGACAAAGACTCATTGAATATATTAAAATAACACGAAGATATTAAATGTCAAACATATTTACACTATTTGTTCTGCGATGCGATATCGCATAGTATGAAAAAACATTCAATTACTTTTTTTACCCTCCCTCGTCTTTGAGCCCATTCGGGGATTTCTCGGACCATGGGGTGTGGGTGGGCCATTAATGACAGAGTTACACAAGCACCCCTACGCACCAGAATGCGAATTCGTGTTCATTTTATCAAATAATCTTTGATCCGTGTTGCCAGCCAACGACGGTGCTGTGCACACGCATTAGCTCGCTCGGCCACCCCATCCCTAATTACACAATTACTATGTGATTTAATTCAATAAAATGTAACTTAATGAAACTATCTATATATTCATTCACTAAACTTTTGATTGACCCAGTTATGATCGTATTCCACCCAGATTCAGTAAAGAAAAAAACGAAATGGAAACCATGTCCAACATTATACTAAAAATTGGACAAAAAAAAAAGTAAACGAATATTGAAAATCCTGCTTGGTTTAACTTTTGGAGCAGACCATGGTAAAATAGCCGATCGCTTACCACTTAATTCGTGCATGCTAACCGCTAAAAAAAATAATGACGATTTCCAAATGAGTTTATAATAATATCGTATATTGTTTATGGAACTCATTCATTCACTGGAATAATTACCAAATAACATAATGCAGGTTACGACAATGCAGTCCTTGGAGCGTCCCGCATTGACTTACACGAAGGTAAGCCTTGGACCTAAATGGCGGCGGAAGAGGAAACTCATTGCATACATTTAAAAGGTCAGGGGGTACCTGATGAAACCAAAGGAACAAGTTTTTAAAAACCGCGAAAAGTTGTAAGTTAATTTACAAAGAATTTTCAATCGTTTCAGTTGTCAATGGAAGTTTCAAAAATCAAGTTTTTTAGGTTCCAATAAGGTTCCAGTTCAAAACAATGTCTCTATATTGAGATTATTGGGTGCTTATTATATTAACTAATTGTGCTGTTATAATTTTTTTATTTTTTTAGAATAAACAATGTTTCTTGAATTACATTCAAATCTTAAAAAAAAAAAAAAATAATATTAATAATGTAAAAACATATCAATATTAATAATTATAGAAATTATAGTATTGTTTTTCATATTAACATAAGAATGTTTTTCATATCAAAACATATTTCATATCACATTAAAAACAAAAGTGTCATGGTAATTATCAGCTCTCATGTTTGCCAATAGAGGATTGGATCACGCAGTTATTAAGTATTCATAATAAATCCGTGATATCAAGATATTAATAATCATTAAAAGCGGATGGTCACGGGTTTATCGTGTCATTCCTTATAGAACTGATTTTGATTTCCAACAAAATGAACTCCGCGTCATCCATGATTGGCAAATCATCAAGCCCTAACATTTCAAAAAGGGCTAAGAAGAGCAATACAGTTAAAGGGATAAAATCTGTATGGTTTGTATTGAGAGTGTTTTTAGAATTCTCATCACTTCATGGTTTCATTCACATCACAGCAAGGAGAAGGCATCCTGTAGAACAGTGAGTATACAAATTTTACCAAGCCTCGCAACCATCAATGACATCTATAAATAAATTTTAAATTATTTATTAGTGAATGAAAGTTTCAAAAGTGTCGTAAAATTATTTTAATATATTCTTGTACAAATGAAAATGAACTATTAGTTGAATATACATTATTAAAACATGTAATAACAAAGGTTAATATAATACGGTCATTATGAGTTATCTGAAGGATACCTTCTACCCTCTGGTGGAATTATGGAATACGGCGATCAAATAGAACCATGAAACGAAATGTTCAAGGAATATGTCAACAAAATATCAGAAAATATTAATACAAAAAGTGTTGTCTCTAAGATCTGCAGGATTTATAATAAATAAAATACTGGCAAAGTTCCTAATGAAGAGTAAATCAGAATTTTCTCTGTTTTGCTTTACAAAATTGTAGTCAGAGATAATTCAAGGTTTTCATTCAAATTGTCAAAAACAATATATATAATTTATATAAATAAAAATTATATTTGTAATTTATATAAATATATTTATAATTTAATATAAATTATAAATTTAATAATATAAATTTATTTATAATTTATATAAATAATATATATAAATTAAAAAAATTCCTCTGAACTGTAACCAGATATACAAACATCCTACATACAAATGCCCCATACGCTTAATAATTTATATGATGATATAAGGCTAAAAATCGACCTCATCGCTGGCGAAGATTTGATTGTAAATTACGAAAGTGTGTGATTCTGAGTAAAAAGCACCTTGTCTGCCATTCCCGAACCAATGGCAGCTGATTTAAAGAGTATTAGGCCAGTGATTTGAGGATCGAAACGGAAAATCTATTCGAAAAATGTGAGAAAAGTTTTTATTTTTTTATCTTGTATATATGGATTTAGACATTTAAAAAACAAAATTGCTAAAGCGAGCCACCAAGGGAATACTTTTTACAGTACAAAAAGTCAGTTTTTTCGATATTTTTTTGTTATTTCACCTATAACTCCTAAACGATGCATCAAGTTGTGCGTTGAATGAGTACATATACTTTATAATTTGGTTACGTCATTTTATACCTTACCACGTTGCCAAATTAAAGTTTATGTACTCCTTCGACGCAAAATTTAACGTTCTCTATTTATCAAACTATACATTTTTCGCTTTGATGCATCGTTTAGGAGTTATAGGTGAAATAACAAAAAAATGTCGAAAAAATCTGACTTTTTAGGCTGTAAAAAGTTAAGAATGAAAAACTGTGATTTTTTAAAATAAAAATTTTACTTTGTTCAACCAGTAAATCTTTCAAAAAATACATACGAACCATAATTCTATTTTAAGTCTGTTTATAATTTTCTTGGGATGATATTAAAGATTACTTATCAAAAACATGAAAATAAAAACAATAGCTAATCATTTTCTATTTCAATACGAGAACATACTCGTATTATTTCTGTCCATACGTACTTCCATTTACAAAATCATACTTTTAATAAAATGTTTAATAATGACCCAATAATTTGTTTTAATTAATTCAAGAAATAAAACTTAAAATAAGGATAACATGGGGTGAATAAGTTGCCCTGTATTTTTTATCCTCCAATTATCATAAATGACTAAGTGTTGGGGGAATCTCAAGGCTTTGACGACACGGCTTTCACAATGGACAAAGAAAATGACGCTATCAATGATGAATGAATGATCAATGAATGACACGATTTCCTTTGGTCTCAAAATATTTTCCTTGTTTATCATAAAATATGATAAAGATATCTAATGAACTAAAACTAATATTACTATCCATGGTAATTTACTACTACATACAGTGAATCGATAAAAATAGTAAGAGCTAACGAACTGCTTGTCAATTCCGTTAAATTTTATCATAACTATTGAACTTTAGAATGAAAACAAAATGGGCACTTCTTTTGGCTGTTCGTTCTTTTATAAAAAAGTTTCAAGAAAAAACAACATTCTAAACGTTCAAATCAGGGGACTTTGACGCGAGGCACCCCCCGCTCGTTTCGACTAACAAAAACCAAAAGGGAATTTGCAAATTTTAGCACAATCGGACAACTGCGAGGCGACCTTCACTTCGTTTAGGTCAATTTAGGTTCGTTTCATATCACGAAAATAAGAAAAAAAATAATATTTAATATTTAAATGGAAATTGTATGATTTTATCAATACTTGACGGTGACATTTAACCGGAGCTATTGGTATTAATTATTTAAACTAAGAATTCTAACTAAATTTCATTTTTTCTCTCATTATGTGCTTTCGCGTTTGAGAGCATGCGGTTGCCTATGAAAAAAAACTATTAAAAGTATGTAACTATTAAAACAAGTATTTTGATGAATTTTATATGAAAAGTAAATAATATTTATAAAGCGGTTTTAACAAAATTGGTTGTTATTCTTATATTTCAATTATATGTGCTATTGCACAATAGTCCAATCAAATTAGCACAAAAAAGGGGGTCTAGCTTACACGAGGTCGGGTAATTCAAATTTCTTTTTTATATGGTTAGGTATATAGTGAATATAAAAAATCCAAGTTTCTGCCCTTGAAAGTCCTTTGGGTTCGCTGCAGTGCTCCAAAATCATTGAAATTTCGAACTTTTTTTCGTTTACGCTAAATATGTCCTTTTTAAAGTGAATAAATAAAAAATAGTCAGATTCAATCTTATACAGCTTTTAATTATCATATATTTTTTTCTAAACCCAACAGAAAGCGAATTATCGAGAATATCATTCCAAAGTATTATTCAAATAGGGCTACTATTTTGGATCATCTGCAGATATTTCTCAGGGAGGATACGGACATGTGATCACCGATTTCAATGAAACATATTATGGTGGTAATAGTTTGAAAAATATTAGACCCAGGTCTCAGAATTCTAACCTATGATATTCTTGAAATCAGAAGATTTATTTATTTTTCTATTGAGACAGTATAGGTATCAGAACACTGTATGATATTTCCTGACTACCTATCATTTATCTATATTTTAATTATGATGGAACACTTTCAAGTGCAGTATGGTGTGTAGCGGTTGCAATGGCGATTTGGGGAGCCACAAAACTTAGTTTACAAACTTGGAAGAGGTTTCAGGAAAACCCGACAGTGGTGTCAATGGAAAGGAACTACAAGGAATGGAATACCTCGTTCCCATCAGTCGCAGTCTGCCCTCACTCAAAATACACAGAGGAAACCTTGCAAAATACCGTTAATAATGCCATGTAAGTTTCTATTCTGAGAGTTTTTATGACGAAATTTCGTAACCATGATTATAAAGTTTCCTCCTAACTCAAAGACTTCTAGGAGACGTCATTTATAAAAATATTACTATTTCCAGGTTTTCTTACGTAAAAGACAAGAAAGGCTTCAAACAGTTCCTGATTGAATTGAGCAACGTTACATATGGACACTTTGATGAACTGTCATTCGATTTCAAAGAACTAAATCCACGCCATTATCTTAAGGCGGTTATTCTATCCAAGTATCCGTTTGTCTACAGGGTCAGCAACAGTAACCCCGAGCATTATAATGTTCTAGACCTCAATAATTTCGTCTCTGAGCTTGGCATTTGCTACTCCTACAATTCCGACTCAACATATTATAATGATCCCAGGTAATTATATTAATATTTGCAAAGGCATGCTAATTAGAAAGTTATCTAAATGTAATAATTTGATTTTCATTAATTTTTATTTTTATTTGGTTATTAGTTTTTGGGGTATGTGTGCGGGGAACTGGTTCGTTTCTATTTAAATAACTCTGGTTTAATATCAATTATACGAAATGTAAGTTCAATATCATTTCTAATAATATAAACAGGACAAACTTAAGATTACAACAAAGAACTATAACAAGGTGAGTCTGTAACCTATTATCACTTCTCATAATGGCGAGGAGTGAAAATAATTGATTCGACGTTATCCCTAGTGCCCCCACAAACAATCGATTCATCCTAGGTAGCTATGCATGCTCCTTCTTCCAGGCGTGCCCAGAAAGGGGTCATGCTTTTCAAAAGTGGATGGCATGTTGATTAACGAACGTCTGACTCGTTTATCAGCTGTTAAAGTAAAACTTGCTGTTTTTAAATACCAATTTCGGAATTAATTTATAAAAAGTTTTTACCGTTTTGGTTTTTTAATTCATCCTAAATTTTATATTATAGAATTGTTTGTTTTTAGCTTTATTTTTTTAATACAACTATTATTTGGCTGGTAAAATTCACATATTTGTCTTAATTTTTCTTAAATATTTCCTTACAGAAAAATATTAATTAATAAAAATCCATTTTTGTTTCCTAATTACTTTTTTTGTTATACGCACAATTTAATTAATTTAAGACTTACTAATTTAAACTAAAAATAACAACGCACGTAGACACTTAATCCCTATCATAATCATTCCAAACAGATGCTAGAATGAAAGGTCAGATTGGAACGAAAACGCAATGTAATGTAAAACCGTTCACATTCCGATGGAACGAGATTCCAAAGGCCCTCGGAACGCCGAAAGACTCCTTCGGATGGAACAAGAAACACATTCCGAACCGTTCCAGGATGAAATTCAAAGCCACTCGGAACGAGAAAGACTGTTCCGGGTGAAACCATTCCAAGGCGTTCCAGGGAGAAACCATTCCGAACCGTTCAAGGGTTGATGAATTCAAGACTACTCGGAACGACAAAGGCTGTTCCGGGTGAACGAAAAAAACCGTTCCGAGTGGAACAAGAAAGACCATTCCGAGTGGAACCATTCCTAACCGTTCTAGGGTGGAATTCAAGACTACTCGGAACGAGGAAGACTGTTCCGGGTAAACGAGGAAGACTGTTCCGGGTGAACGAGAAAGACCAGTCCGGGTGGAACGAGAAAGACCGTTCTGAGTGGAACCGTTCCGAAGCGTTCAGGAGTGAATTCAAGACCAACTCAGAACGAGAAAGACTGTTCCGGGTGGAACCATTCCGAAGCCGTTCCAGGGATGAATTCAAGACCACTCAGAACGAGAAAGACTGTTCCTGGTGGAACCATTCCAAGGCGTTCCAGGGAGGAATTCAAGACCACTCAGAACGAGAAAGACTGTTCCTGGTGGAACCATTCCGAATCGTTTCAGGGGTGGAATGGTTTCATCGAACCCGTTAAAGAAATATTTATTATGACTAACGAGACTGTTAGTTCTGTTTCTTCTTCGTCCTGCCATTCTAATATAACTTAAAAATAAGATAATGACAAACAAAAAAGCCACAATTTAATAAAAATCAATATTTTTTCAACTTTTAAAATGTTTAAACAATATTGATATCCCTCATGACTTTTATAGAATGCTCGAAAAAGTAATACAAAATGCGAAATCTTATGTTTTCTAAATCCAAACGATCCAAGAGCTCTATTGTTATTTAATTTTCTTATAGCCAGTCTAATACCATCTTAATCCGATAACTCAAGTTACTCTCAGCCAACTCTACATAATCATCCACTACTTTATTGCAACACTCCAACAAAACTCAAAAGTGGATCTTTTTGAAGGAACGTTCCCTTCCATCATCAAACATCCGAGTTACTCTTTGCACTCACTCACTCAATTGGAGTTCAACTGATTTCTGGTAGTTATTGGCGAGTATTTATAATGATTTTACCATTATAATGGTGGGAAAAAATATGCTTTTATGCTGGTGAATAATAATTAAAATATGCATTTTTTGTGAGGCATCTAATAGTCTTTATTTAAATCAACAAGATTTTCTTTATCATGGCCTGATTCTAGAAAAACAAATGAACATATTTTTTATATACAATTTAATTTTTTAAACTTTTAAACTTAACAATAATACTTCTAATTAGTAAAATAGTTTTATAAAAAAAATTATTTATGATTTGCAGTTATTGGGACACTAACAGCTGGTACAATCTTGGACATTTTCCGGTTTTCCAAAGTAGCCCATTAGATGGGGATATATTTGCACAATTAAGGAACATGAATTCTGGATATCAGGTAATTGATTTTAAATACATATACGATATTTGCTGATTTATACTGTAAGATTACTTCAGTATTCTCCATTTTGAATTTATGAAGAAAGGAGAACTTGTTTTTCTGATAATTAAATATATATACATACATACATACATATATATATATATATATATATATATATATATATATATATATATAAAACTCAAAAATGAATTGTTATATTGTTAGTTATGAATGATTTTTTTTACCTAAAATTTTTATTTTATTTTTATCATAAAATACATTAAAACTTAATATAAATGAGATTGTATTTCACCTCGGGAAATTTTATTAAAGGCGTATTAAAAATAAAATTAAATTAAAGATTTCTGTAATCTTATTCTTATGATTTTGAATTGTAAACATTTTGTAAAATTAAGTAATTTGTATTTATCCTAGTAGTAATTTGTCTATCCTCCGTTACGCACTACCTCTCTGTCTCTATTGAGCACACAGTTCATAATGTTTTTCATTGATTTTACAAGGAATTTCAAACTATAAGCATGGTAATACTGCTTTCGGTTGATGAAGGTTAAGAAGATGCATATGGTGGTCAAAAGAAATGGTAGTCCCAAATGTGAACAATGGCTTGAGATATGGAGACTATACGGAAAGGAGCAGTAAGAAATTTCTATATTTTCAAGACATTCATAAAGAACTTTTCGCCTCGCCTTTTAAGCTATGGAACGTTTTTCCGGACAGGCGATAGAACGGGAGATTAATGTCAGAGTTAAAAAAGCCACCTCTCCCAACATCGGGACGCGTACTTGTAATTATTTTATCAAGGATAAAAAGCTTGACAGAAGATAACCTGATAACCTGATGATGAAGATAACCTGATGAGAAGATAACCTTGACAGAAGATAAACTGCTTGACAGAAGTTACTATAAAATATTTACGAGTTTGCGTTCCGGTTCTAGGGAGGCTTTTAACTCTGTCATTAATCCCCCGGCATCTCCCGTGGCCCTAGAAAAAAAACATGTAACCTAAAAGACCAGAAATGGGAGAACCCAAAAAAAAAAGTTTACGACTATCAGAACTTTTTATAGAAATCTCATCGAAAACTGTCGAAATGAACACTAAAAAATAATTAAATTTCCACTCATCTAAATAACAGCTTGCACTGCTGTAAGCCTCAGGCATTTTCTCATAGATATTTGTGAAGCTAATGAACATGGATTCGATTGAAACAATTATCTGAATTGATAAGAAAATATGAACTAGTTAATTAGAAGGAAGTTGACTTCTTTTTCACTGGAGATTTGTTTAAATTTTTAACTGATGATACAAAATCAGGTACAACTGTTTTCATCGTTTATCTTTGGTGTAAATTTTAGATAAAACAAAACTGAATGTCAATTAACACTTCTCACTTAAGACAATTCTTCCGAGATGAAGATGGATTGTGATGAAAAGGGCAAATTAGATTTCGTAATGAAATTCGCACATAAATGAGACATGAAATAATAAACAGTGCAAAAGTTAATATATATATGAAGTTGATTGACTCATGGTGATAAATTCTGGAAGATTTTCGTTAATCCAAATATAGCGAATAAATCATCAACTTGAAGACGGAATTTCCTAAGAGGATCACACTTATCCCTTAAAAAAAATTTCTTTGATTCAAACAGGGCCAATTTAGTCTTGTCATGAAATTCATGACAAAGAATGACATGGCAGTTCTACGGTTTTTAAAGGAATAGTGTTATTATGTTAGTCTATGATTTACCTTAAAATGACTATTCCGCATCCATAAAAGAAATTAATTTAATGAATGATTATTTTGCAGATGTTTATTTATGGTCCATCAGAGTTCCCTGACATAGCCTTGACGAAGCTAGAATCATATAACAAATCATACAAGACGCTGGACCTTACGGCTTTGAGTATTGTCAGTTCGGAAGCAGCAGAGAAACTCAAGATTCAGCAGAGGAAGTGCAGACTACAACATGAATCTAATCTTCTCACTAGTCCCGTTTACAGTTACAATCTTTGCAGGATGGAGTGCCGCATAAGGGAATGTTTCAAACTTTGCAACTGTATGCCCTATTTTTATCGACCAGTTGGTAAGATGCAACTGAAGTTAAATATCACAAATTATTACTAAAATCATAAATTTTAAAAACAATTACAGTATATACGTATAGATATATATTCGAATATTAAGGGTGCGGGTTAACGCGTTAACCAGATAATATCCCGAAGATTACGAAATTAAATCGCTTAATCTTTTATTAAGATTGAAATTTCAAATCCCAGTGCCAGAGGAACTTTTAACTGTAGAAGAATTCGCTCGCCGGGAAATCCTCGCATAGCCTAAAAAGGCTAGAAAGGGGAGAAAAGAAATAATATATATATTTTGGAGTTCGGCTCTAGCCGGTGACTAAGAAACATCGGCTCCACGGCGGTGTCCTTTTTGATAGAGTTTTATTCGCCCAATTGAGCCAAAACTTGACATGTGACCGAAGACGTATGCTGGAGACCTGCTGCTTGAATTTCGAAAAAATCAAGCAAAGAACTTCGCCAGGACCAGGAGGTAAAGAACTCAACGTGCCTGTGGGACCGGGGTCCTTATCGCTGTGCAGAATAGGACTTGTAGGCCCCCTCCACCTCTCAGCGGCCGCCTCCATCCAGCAAGGTCAGTGGCGTCTTATCAATACCAACAGCTGTCACCGAAAGAGCCCAACCTATTTTGTTGTTATCATTTTTTTTCTCTCTCCTCTCTTATTTAAAAAAAAACTGATCACAGGAAAGCTAGATTATTGAAATTAATGAATTATTATTTAAAAGAATTAGTATTTAGCTTTATCAATTGATCTATTTATTCAATTTTATTTATTATTTATTAAGTGGACGTGGGTGTGTTTATTTAATTTTTAACAATATATTTTATATATTTAATTTGTTTTTATTCATTAACTTATTTATTAATACATTACTATTTAACCTAGATTTTATTAATTGTATATTTTAATTTGTTTTTACTTGTTAACTTATTTATTAATCCATTATTGATCAACTCATATTATATTAATTGTAGATTTCAATTTGTTTTTAATAAATTGATTTTATAGATTTTAACGTTTTACCATAATTTATTTTATATATTTTAACTTAGTTTTAAGCAATAGAGTCTACAGATTTTAATTTCATTTTATATTTTAGCTTAGTTTTAAGATAGATTTTAACTTATTGATTAACCTTTTTAACTTGGGCTCTATTGATTTTATATTGTGACTTATTTTTAATAAATTGATTTTATAGATTTTAACATTTTACCATAATTTATTTTATATATTTAAACTTAATTTTAAGCAATAGAGTCTATAGATTTTAATTTCATTTTATATTTTAGCTTAGTTTTAAGATAGATTTTAACTTATTGATTAACCTTTTTAACTTGGGCTCTATTTATTTTACATTTTAACTACTTTTAAGCATTTTATATTATTAATCTGATATTTATGTGTGTATGTTGGCATATATGCATGTCTCTCCCGTTTAGTTTTTATTTATTTGTATACGGGTCCACTCTCCTTTAGATGGTTTGTTTTAACCAAGCGTGTAGTACGCATGGTCTCTAGGGGGGATATTGGATTTTGAGTGGACCTAAGGACAATGAATGAAGTCGAGATTGGCCAGAGGGTATGGGTTCTGAGAACTGGAGGACCTGCTCAGGAGGCTGTTGTTGCCTCTGTGATGTCTGTGGATGCCGCGGAGGGCGGCGAAAAGAAATTTGTAAAAGTCGAATGGCCAGACACAGAAGGTGTACTATTGGGAAAGACAGTTTCGATAGATGACGTCTTCCCAGCATTGCCAAATGTTCCACAGAATGTCGAGGAAGCGAACAGAGAGCAGGAGAAAGAAGTTCTACGCCCTAATAATAAAGTTTGTCCCATATGTGGGCTTTCTTTTAAGGGTGAAAGAGGTCTAGGAACCCATATTGCCAAAAAGCACCCCAGGGAGGCTAATACCAATACACTGAGGGGCATAGTGAAAAATGTTTTAGGGCCTAAAAATGGAGAGGGTGAGGTATCAAAAATAAAAGAGGACATTATCGGATGGTCTACTGTGTTCAAGAACCTCTCAAAAGAAAGCACGATAAATATTGCGGATTTTGATGAGGCCGTAGGCAGGTTCCTGAAATTTCTCAAGAATATCAATGCGGAACTGCCAGGTCCCCAGCACCCAGCCGTCAAATTTTACAGATTGAGGAAAAAAAATAAAACTAAAGTAACTGACAAGGGTGCTGGACAAGTCTCAAATCCGCAAAGAGCGAACAAAGTAGACAGGAGTCGTCGGCAAGAACAGTATCAATATGAGGTTGCACAATATAATTATTATAATAAAAGGAAAAAGGTCGTGCAAACCGTAATGAATGCCGACGCTCCTAAGCGGTGTCCTCTGAAGATGGCCGATATCGAAAAACATTATAGAGACCTCTTTGAGAGCGAAAATCTCCGCAAGCGTGCGGATTACGAACAGTGCGCCCCGATGCCAAATTTGGTGTCCATTGATCTAGAAGCCGTCAAGAGAGCCATTAAATCAACATCAATGGACACATCGCCGGGGCCTGATGGAGTTCTGATCCGCACGATTAAATATTTTGATGTAGCAAATATTATCAGAGTAATTGCGGAGATAATGCTGAAGGTGGCCTATGTCCCAGAACCACTTCGACAGGGGCGCACAATACTAATATATAAGGGGAAAGGTGATGTAAATAAAATCCCTTCCTGGAGGCCCATCACCATTTATTCTATTGTGCGCCGAATCATAGAGAAGGTTCTGGACCATGAACTAAGAAAGCAGGTCACCTTCCACAGGAATCAGAGAGGCTTTATAAAAGGCCTCCCGGGAACGCACGTCAACGCAAGGATTATCGACGCTGTATTGAAAGATGCAAAGATTATGAAAAAAGATTGTGCGGTGGTATTCCTTGACGTTGTCGGTGCTTTTGACAATGTTGGCCACAATCATATCGTGAGCTCCTTGGAAGCAAGAGGTGTGTCGCCGGATCTTAAACGTGTTATATCGGCTCTCCTCTGCACCAACACAATCAAAATTAGTAACGGTGTTCACGCAACTAGCCAAATCAAAGTGCTGCGCGGGGTACCCCAAGGCGGCCCCTTGTCGTCGTCGCTCTTCAACCTGGCCATCGATCATCTCTATCGCGACCTGTGCGATGAAGAATTTTCCAAAAAATTTGGATACAAGTTAAAAAGTGACCAAGGTTGTGTGGTCCTCACAGGTTTCGCGGATGACCAGGCCGTGTCAGCGCGTGACAAGGGGGCTGCAGAAAGAGTGATCGGCAGCGTTCAGAGGACTTTTGAGGAAATTGGTTTGGCTATTAATCCTCAAAAAAGCGTGGGCATCGTTCTAAATAAAGGAGAGCTGGAAACAGCGATGCTCTCCCTTGAGAACGGAGAGTACATCCAAACATTGCAGAATGGAGATACAATCAAGTATTTAGGATGTACATTCTCGGGAGAGCTACAGTTCAACGAAGATTCGGTGACCAAATTGAACGAAAATCTGAATAAACTGGTTACCTCTCCCTTGCTGAAGCCGGAGCAGAAGCTAAACATTGTCAACCAATATCTGTTCCCGGGTCTTACTTACCCTCTCCAAACTGCGCCCCTCACAAAGCTGCGTCCTGCCATACTTGACGGCATCGACACCATGATTCGCAGGAGTGTGAAGGCTATTGTTGGACTCCCTGCGAACACCTCCACGGCGATGTTGTACTCTCCCAGGAGGTATCGAGGATTAGGATTAATCCGCTGCCAATGGGAGGCTCCTCTACAACATTGGTCCATTGCTCAGCGACTGTCCAATGTGCCCGATGCCCTTTTTCAGTCGATCTTTGATTATTCGGCTGAGGTTGATGAATGTGCCGAGAGATTGGGGGTTGATCGGGGTATTCGGAATATGAGAGCTCTACGGCAGTCGCTTCGAGAAAATTCGTTTGAGGAATGGACCAATTGCAGGTGGCAGGGCATTGGAGTTCGCCATTTTAAAGAGACCCCGAAAGCCAACAAATACATGTATGATAAGCAAGTACTTTCTGGGTCTGAATGGTCAAATGCCCTGAAACTGAATATTAATTATGCACCCCTGCGTGGAGTCCCAGGTGTCAGCGGACAGGTAAGAGAAGTTGGGTCCCTCTGTCGCAAATGCGACAGAGAGCCAGAAACACCAGCACATGTGCTTGGAAAATGCCCCAACAACTCCCTCCTTATAACGCGCCGTCACCACAGAGTCAAACATGAACTGATGAGGCTCCTTATAGAGAGAGATTACGCCTGTTTCGAGGAAGTATATTGTATAGATACGGATGGATCCACCCGATATGCCGACATTGTGGCATTCCCTAAGACGGGAAAGTCGGCGATGATTTTGGATCCGACCGTGAGATATGAGACCAACGACCTCGATCAGGCAGGAAAAGTGGAAAGGGAGAAAAAACAGACATATGAGAAATGCATCCCTTTCCTTAGTGAAAAGTTCCGCGAGAGTTTCGGGCCGAGAGAGTTCCACGTGAGAGGCCTTTGGTTCGGAGCTCGCGGAACGATACCAGACTCAACAAGGAGCTTCATGGAGGGCCTTGGTGTCGACATAAAGGACGTGGCAAGGTTGGCAGAGAACATAATCCTTGACTCCCTGGGAATTATCCATCACCATGTGCATGGATAGAGAGTTTTTCATGGGGGGAGGCATGCGTGTTTTGCAGCATTTTTACATTATTTATTGACCACGTCCACTGCACTTTATGTATTTGTATGAATGTTATGAATTAGGTTAGGAAAAGAGAGGAGAAAAATGTATAGAGTGAGAGAAGGAACAGAAGGGGATGTATAGTGCTAATAAGTGAATTAAAGAAATAGTAAAAATAAAATAAATAAATAAATAAAATAAAAAAAATAAATAAAAATATAGGAAAAAAATTATGATAAAAAAAAATATATATATAGATAAAAAAAAAAAAAAATTGTATATTATGCTCATATATGTTGTTAATACTATATAATTGTATATTAGTTTTGGAAAATTGTCTGTAGCGATTAATAAGTATGCTGTGTTTAAAGCAACCCAATGTAATTGGGCAGCACCCTTTTATGATAATAAAGTGATTCTCTCTATATATATACAGCGTCTCCCGTAAGTAGAGTGAAATTTTTATAGGAATTATAGCAGACCCCAAGAGCTACAAAAAAGTTCATATAAACAGTTTTCAGAAACATCAATATCAATATCATATATATATCAATCCCCACATATATTATTACAGTAAGGCTCGAAATCGGATTTATACCAAATATAAGCTCCTGTCATGCTCAAATACCATGAATGGGGTATCGTTGGATTCAGAATTTCACGATTTTATTAGCGAATCGTTTTGTTAGCGAATCGTATTCTCCACTTTTGCTTTTCTTTCTAAAATAAATAAAGTCGATACAAACATTTTGCTAGGCTTCAATACTGGAACGGTGGTAGGTCTGTAGATCGATGCGGGACAAATTGACCTTGAAGATTTTGATGCGTACAGCAAGACCCGGATAGTTCCTCCGGAATTATCGGATCATGCGTTTTTAAGCCCAAAAACGCACTATTTTCGAGATAACGCAAGGTATAGGGTTCGCATCCACACAGCCTAACATTAATTGTATTACTGTCATTGAATACATCTCTCATTTCATCGACTTGAGGTATCTAAGATCGAGAGAGGAGGAGTTTATATTATTTATCGATGGTGTTTTTGATCGGCAAGCCATACCATCGTTAATTTTTCACCAAGTCTCATTGAGCCACCAATTTCGAAGGTTTCCTTCTGCTTCAGGCGGACAAAATAGTTTAATCACTCCGAAAATTCAGACAAACAAGTTATGAAAGAAAACAAACTTTATTTGCGAATAACTAAAAAATTACACACTTTTCCCTGTCATCATGGTTATGCTCATGATTATATAAAAGATTACTCAATCCCCTACAAAAGGAAAAAAAATCATTGAAATCGGACTATTTTTAGCAAAGATACAGCTTACTGAAATTTGTGAACATGTTGGTTCCAAACAAAAATGAAGATTTAAATTAATTTTTGTTTTCTTTGTCGATTATATTTATCGATAAAGTAACATTTGATTTCTTTATCTTTTGATACCTTGCATTATTTTATTTTATTATTAATTTGACATTTGATAACAATATGCTGTGCGAATTTTTCGCACGGGCCTACTAGTCAATATTAAAACTATTTGTAAAATGAAATGCCAGGAGAGCAAAATACACGTTACAATACAAAATACAATAAAATACACACAAAATATAATACACGTTAATTTGAATAATAATTAGTAACTTTACACATTTTGAGCCTATTTATTTTATATATTTAACCATTTATATACTTTTAATCATTAGCGGATCCAGGATTTAATTTTGGGATGCTTCAGCCCAATAAGTTGTTTTTTTTTCATATATATATAACGACAATTACTTTGGAAAAAAAGGAACTAACTACCGATATGAAATAGTGTTTAAGTGATACTTGAAGTCCTATTAAATGTAATTAATTACACGAACAATAATACTTTAAGAGATAATTTTATAATATTTTTTTCCATAAAAGAGGGTTTACATTTTAGCATTTTGGGGGGTGGCTTCAGCCCGAAAGCCCCTCCTCCTACTCTCTCTGTAGATCCGCCTGTGCTTTTAATATATTTTTATATTTTATTTTAATATACATTGAAAATGTATATCTTAAATCTGTGATATCTTAAGTGATCTTAAATCTGTTTAAATCATTATTATTAAATCATTAAAATAATTTACAAATATATTACCATTAATCACAAAACTGCAACGGTTAGGTTATAGTTTCTGAAGTAAAAAATATAAGTTTTAACGATAAGATATGTAAAATGTAAAATAACAATTTTGATTATAGATTTTAAATTTTTTGTTACTTCTTAATAATTCTAAAAATCCAGTTCTTGGTAGTGTAATTGTTAAGGTAATTTTGTTTGATAGAGAAAGCTGAAAGTTATTTTTAAAATCAGTCAGTTAATAATGAAATGAGGCTATAATAACTTTATTATTTATTAGAAAATATTCTAAAGTCTTAATTAAATCCTTAAATAAATATAATGGCATCTTATAAACAACATCAAATTTTAAACCAGGTTTCTACTTTAGCAACAATCTACATGAAACATTAAATATTGAAATATTAAAGTAGATGTTTTTTATTATTGAGAAAGTCTACTATTTATTATTTACACAAGTAGGATTATTGTGGCATTTGGAATCGCATTTTATAATTGATTTGTAATATATATTTTCCAATATAATTTATCTTGCTGTAACATTTTAAGAATCTTTGTTTTGATCCAGAAGCAGCCATTGCTTTATTTTACACTAAATCTTCATCAGGCCCATACCTGGTGTTAATAAATCTCTCTTTAATAATTTGGAACTGATTTCTGGTGAAATACTTTTCTTTTGTTCAATTTTACGTGAACTTTACTTTCTCCAATAGATACGGGTTTTTATTGCATATTCTGGTTATTTGTGTGTAAAATCTAGGCGGTGCTTTTCCTTTGAACTCGGTTCACGAAATTGTTTAGTTTTTTCCGTAATGGGTATTCCTGCGATGTATCTCCACTGCAAGATACACGTTTCCTGACATGTCATCGGCCAAGGCAGACATGAAGTTATCTGATTGAATTGACACCTAGAACATTCGGATATTTTCGCAGGTAGAACCAAGGATTGGAGAAGGGGGAAAAGCCCAACTCACCACACCCTCCTCTCTCATGCCGAAATAGCATGAAACAAAACAGTTAGGCCTAAATAACACAAAACTAGGCAAGGAAAAAAAAATAAATAAGGCTATTCACGTAAATAGAACTTTTTCACGACGTTCATACTTTATTACCAGGTTACTCGTTTTACTTTTTTTTTTTGTCTCTGAACATATTGATTCGATTTTACTTTTATTACATAATTCAAGAAACGTAAACCACGATGATAATTGTAATGTCATTTCTGATGTTGAGTTAAATTCTATTCGGAATATTTTAACATTTATTTTTTTAATATTCCATTGTGACTGATGGGTCTTACATTTAAAACTTAAAATTTCGTCCTACATAACCTGTAATGATAAAATAATTTTTCTCATGGGCGATTAATAGTCAGGACGCCATTATACAATTTTTATTATTATTTGTGCCACCGTTTCGACCCAAATATGTGGGTCATCTTCAGTGCTCGAACCACGCCCTGAAGATGACCCACATGTTTGGGTCGAAACGTTTGTACAAATTAAAAAATTTTTTTTTCTCTCAAAGAGCGTCAAGTTGATATGTGAAACATTTGAAAAAATGTCTAAGGATAATAATAATATCTGAGGATTAAGGCGTAAAGTTTTTTCCTCGTTTATGTAAAATATTTTCTCATTCCAGCCACATAAATTCAGTATTTGGTTTATTGGCTTGTTGATAGAGATCACAATTTATATTTGTTCCAGTGCTTAAAGCTGATTTGAATTTAGTTTTCTCAGAACTCATATAACGCAAGTTACCGGCTTTATCTACTAGATCTTTCAATTATCTTGTTATTTAAGATAATCCTTCTACCTCGACTTATTTCACGTCAAATTTAAGGCAATCAGCCTTAATCGTAAATAGTCCGCTGACGATAATGGGACGTCACAAAGCCATGGAAAAAAATTAAATTGTATATAAAAAATATGTTCATTTGTTTTTCTAGGATCTTGGTACAGGTCATGATAAAGAAAATCTTGTTGATTTAAATAAAGACTATTAGATGCCCCACAAAAAATGCATATTTTAATTATTATTCACCAGCATAAAAGCATATTTTTTTCCACCATTATAATGGTAAAATCATTATAAATACTCGCCAATAACTACCATAATTTTACGCCAATAAATACTCATAATTTTATGAGTTCCAAGATAATGGATCTGCATTGTCGTGTTGACGACAGCCTTGGGGTTTTCCAGAATTTAATAGGACATTTGTGGGGAGCCATTTTGGTAATGAGTAAAAGGACCACAATTTACTTTAGAACAGCAAATACTTCTACTACTTTGTGTTGATATAAATAAAAAAGAAAGCAGAAATGCAGACTGAGATATCTCAAACTATGAGATCGTTTAGACAAGAATAAAAATACTATAGGAGTTTCAATAGTTCTAAACTATTGAACATTTTAAATTTTTGGTAGGTTTGATCGTTGTTTTAAAATCGTCCTTAGACACTTATTATTTCTTATTTCATTTCTTTTGGTTTCAGGACAATATCCAATTTGTGGTTTCAATGGCATGCAATGCTTACAGAAACATACAGGTAACCGGATATCGAATATCAGCTTTACAAAACCATGTTTCATAATAAGATTTTTTGTTAAAATATAAATTTTTAAATTTTTCAGAACGTTTAACTAAACTTTTAGATCCTGCAACCGGGAAAAAATTGCGCTGCCCTTGCCTTCCTCTTTGCCACGACGTCAATTACTTCATTGACACTGATAATACTATGACATGGTGAGATTAAATTGAGCTGACATGTTTGAATGAACTAAGTGATTATGTTTTTGTAATTTAAGCTTATTAAGGTAAATACTTTTGCTCATTCGTAAGCGAAAATAGGGGATGGATTTTGATCATATTGAATTAGAAAAGTCGCCGAAAAGCGTGGTAGGATCATTTAAAGTATTAAATATTTAAGTTAGGAGAAGCTGAACTAAAGAAGAGTAGACACAGCTAGAAAAAAAAAAATTTATTTTGCTTGCAGAAGAGAATAGTAACGACTCCATGCGTGACTACTCACTTCTGGAAATACCCGTAGCTCTTAACACACAGTGAAGTGTTTTAATAAATCAATCAGGCTTGAGGTTGCTATGACAGAGCCCAAGGCAATTTTAGAAGCTACGCGGTTCTGACAGCACCATTGTCTTTATCTTCATGTTTTTTTTTTTTAAATTAATTTAAATTAAAAACTATTTTAATTTTAATATTTTTAGTTTTTTATATTCACTTCGCCCATGCATAGATACAAAAAGTTAAAAAAATTTCTTTTCAAAAATGTCTTCAGTTGTTTAGTGGTGTTGCACTCCAGTACTACACCAAGTATTAATATCCATATACATCTAGCTTACCAAAAACCAATTGAACATGCTTGAGCAATTATTACTGGTAATGTCTATTCATCAGATATGTAAATCGTTAATTGCCAAATTACGAACATATTAAACACATTCAATGTATTTTATTGTTTTGTACTCATATTGTTTCAAAACATTCAAATTTGTGATTTACAAAACTTAAAAATAAATAGAGCCGTTTAATAAAAAAGTCGCACATACCTACAAACGGACACACTACTTTATGCTTTGGGCACGCTTTGTTTGAGGAATTATTAAAATAAGGAATCAACGTGAAGTTCCACTTTCAATGTGAAACACTTAAATTTAGGTAAATTCTATTATGTTCTTATGGGGTATTTAATTTAAGAAATGGTGGATTTGCTAGACATTACTTGCTCTAGGTACAATATTAAACTTTTTTATAGTGATTCTCAAAAGTGGTTACAAAGGCCTCCAAAATCATACTTATGTCACTGAATGGGAAGTTACATACCTTTTTAGAATTAATGCGGTTTATTAGACTTTTTTATTGGAATATATCCTGGACGTAAAGAACACGATGTCCATTTATATATTTGTTTGCGAGAACCAACACTCCATAACTTTAAGCTATTACGAATTGTTTCGTAGATACTAAACTTATACTCCGGAGATAAAGGCCACCATGTAACATTTTTGTATTTACCCGGGGAGTTTATTTTCTATAACTTTGAGCTATTAAAATATATTCCTTAGTTAATTAATTGTTTAATGAAAAAGTGGACATGGTATCCTCCACCTTCGGGAAACAGGAACGATCTTAGTATATTATTAGCTAATAGCGTGTAATGTGTGCCCATATATAGTTGTTTTTTTTTATTTTACGATTTTCTATTACATGGAGATTAACAAAGGACAGATATTTACCCCAAATATTTTATGTTAAACGGCAGTGTTAATTAATTATTAGTTGAACAAGGATGTTTATTGTTTCTTTTTTTTTAGGTCATTAGGTACAAATTTAAAACTTGGTCTCATCAAATACCCACGCTTCAGATTGAAAAGAGAAGTTTTGTTCGGACAGACAGATCTTCTAGGTAATTCAAATTTGACTATCATGTATATATAGATAATCATTTAAATTTTCATATATTTTTGATCACGGGCGGATCTACGGGGGGAGGGGAGGCTTTCGGGCTAAAGCCCTCCTCCCCCAAAATGGTAAAATATAACCATGTTTTTATGGAAACAAAAAATTAAAAAATACCTCTTAATGTATTATTGTTCGTGTAATTACATTTAAAAGGACTTTAGGAATCACTTAAACACCATTTCATATAGGTAGTTAGTTTCTTTCTGTTTTTCTAAAGTAATTATCGTTATTTTTATGACAAAAAAAGCTTTCGGGCTGAAGCCTCACTAAAATTAAAACCTGGATCCGCTAGTGTTTTTGATAGCCTTCTCTTTAAACTCAAGACAATACTCCCACCTACATACTATCTAATTCTACAATCCTTCCTTTCCGATAGATTTTTCTCGGTCCGACACGGGTCAGAACTATCTTCCATCAGGTCTATCTCAGCAGAAGTACCTCAAGGTTCAGTACTCGCTCCACTACTCTATATCACATACACCCATTACATACCTTGCAGTCCCAACATTTTAACAGCGACATATGCAGACGACACAGCAATTTTAGCAAGACACAAAAATCCAACATACGCCTCACAGACTCTACAACAGTATTTAACAAGATTACATGACTGGTTCAAAATTTGGAAAATCCGACTAAATCAAGACAAATCACAGCACATCACATTTACGCTTCGACATGAAACATGCCCTCCAGTTTTTCTTGACAATACACAGATTCCACAGACAGACACGTTCACTACCTGGTCTGACATTTGACGAAAATGACTGGCCACATATAACCAAGAAACGAAAAACGCTAAATCAAAGGTTAAGAATTCTGAGTTCACTTCTTTCGAAACATTCAAAACTAAAACTTAGGCAGAAATTGAACACTTACAATTACTTACTAAAACCTATTTGGACTTACGCATCACAGATATTTGGAACTGCTAAAAAGACTCACTTAAGCAAACTTCAAATCTTTCAATCAAAAACATTCAGGACAATTACAAAAGCACCTTGGTACGTTAGCAACATAATCTTACATACTGACCTCCATATGCCGACTGTTAACGAACACATACAAACTCATTACAAACGATTCCACGACAACTTACAAGGACATCCTAATACACTTATAAATGACATGTCCACTACGGATATGCCAGGTAACGTATGTAGGAGACTGAAGAGGAGTTGGATGAGGGACCTCCTCGCCTAATGTAGATATCACGCCGAGTGAGGTGCCGCTGTGCACTGATCCTTCTCAAGCCTTTCATGACATTATATTTATCAATCGACATCACATTCACTGGTTGTCATTACCATTATGACAGGAGTGAATAAAAAATTAAAGCTAAAAAAAAAAAACATCTTTAATTTGGATACCTTTTCAAGAAATAAATAATAAAACGATAACTAAATCCTTCCAACTAAACTTCGGTAAAGGTTGAAAATATTAAAATAACATAATTATTTCATATTAAAAATAAATCCTTTTTTCTTAAAATGCATTGTAATAATAGTTGGGTGGTAGTTAGTTTACTAATAAGAAATACATTACTTCTATAACTTCTTCTAATAGAAGACAGAAACTAAGACTTCACTGAACTATGAAGAAACTGAGGGCGCATCAACCGACCCGCATTACCGCTAGGTAAATGTCCGAGGTGTACTTGATGCTTCGCTGTCCCAGTATTTCGGACTCCCAAAATTTAAAGATAGCTACAACATCCTATTATGAACATTTGCTTTCGTATATTACGTCAAATCAAATTTCTGTTCGCTAAGAACTATATCAAATATGAAATTAAACTCTAACTTTAAATATTTTAATGATTTCAGGCGGAAGTAATATTTTAACGTAAAAACTTCATAGAACATTTTTGTAAGGATGGATACACAGGGATAAACTATATATTAATGTCAAATATAAAATGACGGATTTATGAACAATGACTAAAAGAGTTTTGAAATGGATGTTCTATGAAGAATGGTGAGAGTAGATCGGTATGGAGAAGAACAGGAACTTTTGGAAAATTTATTAAATAATAATACATACACACTAAATCAATAAAATTTTCCGAGACATTGCTAATCTCGGGAATGAGGGTGGTGCTAGTGGACGAGGCCTTACGGTCAATTATATACTAAGAAAATAATCTCAAAATTGTACAATACATAGTTTTTAGTGAATGGTAGATTTTGATTAATTTTGAGATTTTGATCGGAGGTTTTGATTAATAAATCTTATTTTAATCATAAAAATAATAAATATTAAATTTATCCAAACTAGTTTTGGAGATGTATTAATTTTATATTTATATTTATTCTTCTATTCTACAGTATCTATTGGAGGATCGGCAGGTTTATTCCTGGGATGCAGCCTCTTGAGTTTTGCTGAAATTTTGTATTTTTTCACAATCAGGAATTTACTATTTTGGCGAAGAGGAATGAAGCTAGGAACGAATTGACTAACTATTATTCTTTTTTTCAACATAATTATATATATTAATTTATTTTACAATATATCTCAGAAATACAAAAATATGCTATTGTGGATTGTTGAAGAGCTTGTTTCTCTATTAATAAATACATAAATTATGGATTTAATATTCTTATAATTATTTAGTTTAGTAAGAAGTTGAGACATCCATTCTCCCTATTTTGCATGATACAAGTTGTTATAAAATATAGCGAATCATTATGGTGGAATAAGAAAAGTTTCTGCAATTTATCTCTTATTCCCATCTCATAAATTAATTTCTTTGAGTAGAACAGAAAACCTCTATTGACTAAATTGATTATCTCAATGCCATAACAGATATTGATGAAGCAGCAATTTTCAAGAAAATGTTATTATTTTATGGTTAGCCCTTACCGAAGTAATAATAAAACCGTTCCTAAAAAAAAAAAAAAAAACACATGGCGCTGTTGAATAGAAAACATCATCAGCAGAGATCTGAGCCATCGATAGTGAGTCATTTCCCATTGACGTGGCAACAATTTATTTCCCATTAGTGTACATACATTTTTTCAATCTCGCTTCACAGAATGTGGAAATAATATTTGACCTGATGGGGTCCGGTAAGCTCAAGAAGAGCTGCCTTCATAAACGAAATCAAAGCCTAACAAACCAAATAGCCCTTGGAGCTTACGAGTTCCTCCTTCTCGTTTTTAGAACGGCCTCAGCTCACGGATTAAGTCATATTGCGGCAAGGAAGAGAAGTCCCATGGAAATGTAAGTAAGAGTAACTATTATTTATCGTACGAATTTATAAGAAGATTAGGCGATTCGCCATTAAATTGTGTGTATATATATATATATATATATATACATATATATCTATATATATACACTATACACCTCAAATACATGCAAAACTAAGGGGAGTAGGTTTTCGGGCTGAAGTTGCACCCAAAATGGTAAAATATAACCATTTCTTATGAAACAAATGTTAAAAAATTATCTCTAAAAGTATTATTGTTCATGTAATTACATTTAATAGTATTTCAAGAATCACTGAAACGAAGAATCACAAATACAGCTTAGTTTCGTAAAAAAAGAGTCATAAATTATTTGAGATTTATTTTTATCAACCTTTAACTGTACAAGATTTACCTCACTCTTACAAAAAACTTTCTCGTTTAATTAGCTTTAAGTGCACATTAATTATGTTGAGGTTTATTGGAAAACATTTTGAGATTCATCTTAAGTTGTGTAGAGAAATGGTGTTATTTTCTATCCGGCCACTTCAAAGTATCCGTGTTTTATGCAAAAATAGCTAAAATTAACTGTTGCAAAGCTTTTATTTGTTGTTTTCCCGTGATATGGGATGTATTGTAATAAACATAATTGCCTAAAAATACATTTTATTTTTTAAAAAAATTAATTAATAAAGGAAGGAGATGGCGGTCATAAATAGGCTAAATAGTGGTAAACCTATTTTATTTTTAAATAGTTTTACCATTATTTAGCCTATTTATGATAGCCACCCCGGACCATCTCCCTCCTTTACAATGCAACGGTCAACTATCAAATATTCAATATTATTTAATTAATCAATTTTTAAATATTTTTTATGTAAGGTTCTTATGAAATTGTGTTTTCTCCCAGATTTCTGCCTTAGGGATTGACAAACTCTACTTTCGTTTTATGTAAATCTTGTCTAGTTTACTATGGAGCAATGCTCAGTTAATCAATTTTTTTTTATGTGATCAGTTCCTATTCAACAAAAAACGTGACTCGCTTAAAAAAACACAAATCTTACATTTCCTACTTCACATTATATAGACAATAGATCATATGAACTTTTGCTGTCAACTACCAACCATTTAAATATTCCTCTCTACTTACAGGACATCCTGAACATATAAAATAAAATGAAATATCAGAGCCGCTGTTGCCTTCAACAACATATATTATCCATTAATAATTTGATTAACATACTATATTTATAATAATAATATCCAGTTCCTTGATCTCCCTTCCTGGGATTCTACAAATTATTCAAATATAATCCAAATATACAAAGCTAGCAAACGTAGAGGTATATTCCCAGTAAGTGTCAACTAGCTCAAAGAGTTGCTATTTTCCAACAATAATAAAATAATCCAAAGATTTATCCAAAAAAGCTGGAAATATTTATGACTTATAACAAGATTGTTTAATCATTTGATTGATTGAGTCATGCTTTTCAAAAATTAAGTTTTAAACTTCAATATACCTTCTCCGAATTCCGATTCACAGATCTTTACTTGACCCTAGATATTTGAAATTTCCAGTACGATTTAATTAACTGGTCAAGATCGAGGAAATAAACTTTTTTTTGTTTTTCGGAATTAGTAGGATAAAAAAGTAGCAGCAGAAACCCGAGTTAGGAGGCTTAGTGTCGGTTGTTCAAGTTATCTACTTTCTCTAATTTTCGCGAGTTCTGCTTTCCCTTGCCCGCTTATCATTCACGATGATTGCAGGCTAAACAAACATGTTACAGATTCTGACTCTCACAGTAATTATTCAATGTACAAAGATATTTTCGGATCCGTCGCTTCATATTTGTTTAATTATTAATTCATACGACCTAAACAAAAAGGTAAGTCATTCAAAGATTAAGTTTTTTAGTTCATCATCATGAATAAATGCTAAGATTGTGAATAGTTTGTATTCATAGTTTATTGAAGAATAAAAAAACCATCCACGAAAGAAAAGACAAACATCAGATTTGTTATACACACACACTTCTTATTCATTATAAAATGTAATACTGTTCTTTGGTTGTCTGTATTTCAACGTAGGGTTTAAAGGAATGGAAATAAGATATTTTTGATCATATATTAAATAATACAATTATTTATCTTAATTTAAGTTCAGTGTCATGTAGATTTCTAAATATATTACTTTCAAGATATAAATCCTTTCTTTAAATAGAAGTTTTAAAAGAGAGTTATTTTTTATAATAACTTCTAAAGCAACGCATTTAAAGAGTGATTTTTTACTTCCATTAGAATTGTATCTTAATAATTATCTTCGACACCATGTTAAAATAAAAGATGTGAGCATGTTTATTGTTGCGCATTCGTTACTTTAACATGGTGCCGATGGTATAATCGCATTATATCATTTCACACTAATTAATAATCGAGATACTTAAACTGTAATTTTTTTCTTACTATTTCGTGCTAAAATTGTTTCACGTTAACGGGATCTCAGTGAGTAATTACAGCAGTTATTCACTGAGTAATTACATAAGTTATTCACTCAAAAACCGTCAGATATATTTTAGCGTACAGATTAATCACTTTTGGGGGCGGGCCGAGTGGGCTAACGCGTGTTTCTAAATATCCGTTGCCTAGCAACATGATTAACTGAAGTTAATGTGATAAAATAATTACACGAGAGTTCGCATCTCAATGCCATGGAAGCTTTTAAGTATGGCAGTAATCCTCCGCTCTCTTCCCTGGCTCAGCCAACCTCTGTATAGCCTAAAAGGCGAGAAAGGGGGGAACAAAATACTAAACACAATAATTTGGCAGTGTTTTATGCTGGAATTATTTCTAAACGCTCACGGGAGAATACTAGAAAATTTGAGCTGTGAAACTTTTGAGCTATCCAATTTCAACTAAACTTCAATTAAATTTTTATTATATATCTAATAATGCTGTGAGCACATTCCTCCCATCTATGGCCCTCTGACGATACACCTATGGTCTATGTATATGGTCGCATACATTTGAAAATTTCAATTTTACTCCAGTTAAACATTTTGAAATACCTGAGAATAACCATTTTTTTTTTTAATAAGAAAAAGTATAATTTAAAACTATATTTCTGACAAAAAAATTTTATCTAATCAAACTAATATATTTATCAACATCTTTTTTTTTTTTAAGTATTGTCTGGATACTGGCTGTGTTGGTTGGAATTTCGGGAGCTGCACATTTATGCCAGTCAACATGGGAGCGGTACCAGAGCAGCCCTACGGTAATTTCTTTGGAAAGGAATTACTTGGATTGGAACACCACCTTTCCAGCTTCCACAGTTTGCCCTCTGAAGAAACTTGAAGATTCTAGAATCAATAAATTAGCAAGAGAAATGTTGAGTAATTTTCCTAATTAATAATTGAAAATGAGCATATAATGCGGTGATGTAAACTAATACCATGATATTTTTTATGCTCAATATACAAAATAGTATTTGAGGAGCTACCAATCAGGGACATCTCCAATCAGACTGAAATTGTGATTTTGATTAAGTCTAGTAGTTCCCAATGCTATCTTCTAATGCTACTCAATTCCTATGATAAATAATGTTTCCCTAAAGAATAAGAAACGGAAAGAGTGTTTCGTTTTTTTAAGTCGTAGGCACCAAGTTACGAATGTGAGCCGGTTCAACATTGCACATTCGTTACTTTAACATGGTGCCGAAGTAAACTGAACAGCTCCGAATCAAATACTGGAAAAATTTGTTTTTAGCGTCACTTTGCTAACAAAAGAAGAAACAGGCAGAGGTGTCCTCTTGTGATGGAAAACTTCTTAATCATGATATTTAACTTAAACAAAAGATGATACTGGAAAGAGACTTCAATAAGTATCAGTAGAAAAAAAAGGCCATTTTAATCGAAATAATTAAAATACTTTATTTTACATTTTTATAAAGGCGAAAATTTAAATAAATTAAAAATAAAGTATTTTATGAGACTAAAAAGGCCTCTTATTGTACTGATACCTTTAACTTTATGCAATACAAATTTGTACAATTCCAGAATATGTGTTTAACATTTATTGATACCATAGATCGTTACTGATGCATATAAATACTTCATTGTTCGTCTGATTTGATAATTAGTGTTATAGAACTTGTTGATTAGGTTAAAAACTGTAATTTATTAGGCCATTATTTGAAGATTTCAAAATAAAACCTTGATTCATTCAAATACCACCCACTAATTAAAATGTTAGCGTTTCGATGAATCTAGGAACCATCAGGAATGAAAAACATTAGCTCACATAAATGCAGACCATATAAAGCATACATCATAGCTATAGAATAAAAAATAAATAAATAAATAGGGAAACTATATACTATATCTTTCATTGAGGTAACCTTCTATCTTAATTTAGTAAGTCTTTTTTAGATTATCTATCTATATAAAAATGAATGTACGTCTGTCTGTTGGACCTTTATGCATTACTAAAAGGTTTCTGGCATAGTGCTCTGTCATGCGATAATTTTATATGTGTAAATGTAAAATTTCTTTTTTCAAAGCCGCTATTCTCAGAAAGTTCATCACCGATTGCTTTGAATTAAGTTGTTATTAAGAAGAAGCAAGCAATCAAATATCTTAGGAGAGGTATGCGAAATCTTTTGAGGAATGTGTAAGGCAGATCTAATGCACACGAAATGAACGATATGATAAATGGTTAGCGCCATTTCAATGTATTGCCACGATTGATATTTGAAAATATTTAACATTGAAACAGTATCGTAAAATATTTTTAACCGCATGTGTTGCTTTTACATCCAACTGGTGGTGCGTTTTTAAAAAATATGTATAGTTTCACCTTATATTCTATAATAGTAGATATATTAAACCTCGTATTTAAATGCAACGTTAAGCCAGAATTTCAAGGCAATGGGTGAAGAACTTTCCGAGATTTAAGAGTTTGAACAAACAAACATTTACATTTTTGTTTGCCATAAAATGATCAACACAAAGTTGAACATTAAACAATACATTGAATATTTTAAAAAATAAACATGAAAATATATGAGTGGCTTGATATCAATGACGGATCTCTGTCATTTTCAGAAAGCGGAGATAAAGTCAATTTTATTTTTATTTTAAGTTCAACTCAGACTGATGATTAAGGATGTTCAAGTTGAATCATGAAAAAAATTCATTATAATTAGTTTAAATTAAGGCTATGTTACAAACAAATTTGTTTCCAAACTTTTTAAGAATGAAAGATGTCCTTTGGTTAACCACTCATATGTGTTTTCTATTTTCCATTTTGCTAGACTAAGCCATAGCAGCGCGTGGCCGCGTAAAGCTAGTAATTTATAAAGTAAGATGTGTATCTCTTCTTTTCTTAAATTTCATTTTATGTTTTCAGTCCTGACGATCTCTGGATTTACAAAATCTATTCTTACTAGTTTAGTTGTTGACAGCTATTTATATACACAATCATATACAGAGGCGGATCAAGAGGTAACAGAAACAAGCGGAAAAGGGTTCAAACATTTAAAATATTTTAACTTAAATATCTCGGAAACCACGGAAAGATAAAAAAAAAAAAACTTAGTTTCATTACAAAATTTTGATTATTAGTAGCTATGAATTTGGTGGAAAGCGAGTAAAGTAGATAAAATGAGTGATCTCTGAGCGAGTTAATGGGTAGGCGTGGATGATGGTACTGTATTGCTCTGTCCTCATATTCAATTTCAAGTCAGTAAAAAATCTTAGTGTCTTAACATAAACAAAACTCCTTTACTACTAAGAAGAACTCCTTTACTCCTGGTAAATTAAGAAGAATTTGCCAAGAAAATTATAAATTCCTAAACGTAACCGCGGGAAACAGTTAGTTTTAGACATTAACTATAAAGCATGTTTTGAAAGAGCGCCCTTTTTACAACGTAAGTTAAAAGATCTTGGAATGCTCCAGAATATATCTGCATCCCTGGAAAATCAGAAAGAAATCATTAGGGAAGTTATGAAATTTCTACACAATGAAAGTCTTATAAAACATGTATGACACGTTTATTTATTAGCTATATTATTACGACGTTTCGATCATCACTAGAGCCATTGTCAAGTCTTATTGATTCCTTCATTTGATATTCATTATTAATGTCGTATTAATTTGTTCAGAGAAAAATTAAATTGTCCTGCTATTTAAGAGTTTCCCTAAAGTCATTTCTGGAGGGACTGATTTTCTCTAAACAAATTAATACGATATTAATAATGAATATCAAATGGAGGACTCAATAAGACTTGAAAATGGCCCTAGTGATGGTCGAAACGTCGTCGTAATAAAATAGCTAATAAATAAAATGTTGGTGAATAATGGCCTAATTTATATAAAAAATAAAACCTCAAGACACCAATTTTAGGAATAATGAATAGAAGATATAAAAATATTAAATGATCCTTTGCAGATTTTTTATTTATTTATTTTTTTTTATATTTTTATTTTTAAAGTTCATTTATTTATTAATTTCAGTTCATTTATTGATTTTATTACTATCATTTTTTATTAATCTATTTATTTATCTATTTTATCTTCTTATTGTCTTAAGGGGTATTTATTTTATTTTATTAATCTTTGTTTTATCGTTTTTTTTATTTATTTATTTCTATTTTTGTACGTACCACTTAAACAGTATAAGAGTAGTATTATTCAGTTGATCGGTTGCTGGTGACCCTGGTGTTTTGCGCTTGCGAGGTAAATTATGTTATATCTTCAAAGGCAATATAATCTCGGAAATGAGATCAAAATCATTTCGTCCTCGATCAATCATAATTTAATTCGTCAATCATCAATCATAATACAATTTCTCTTGATATTTAAGGTTTCAGAACACAGCTGAGGAAGAAATGAGAGTATTGCTTTTGTTGGCAAACGCTACCTTCCACACATTCGACCAAGTGGAGGGTCTCAAGAATCTCAGCCCTAATCGGTATCAGGATATTGTTTTCGGAGCTGCATTTAACTTCACTTACTCAGTGAGCAATAGCAATTCAGAAAGTTCTGATTTACTGTCCATGGTAACGGAATTCGGAATATGCTACACTTATAATTCCCAGATTGCAGCATACCATAGCCCAAGGTTAGACAGTATTATAACTTTTGTAGCTGGTTAGAGAATACGAACATATTGGTTTAAAGTACCCTAATTTTAGTGTCCATGAATTAATAAAATAAGTGAATCAGAACACTGGGTAGGTTTCTGATATTTTTATTCATACAGTTATTGGAAAAATAATAGTTGGAACACATTTCCTTTGGTAAACGCTTTTAAGGGAAATCCATTGGAAGGTGATATTTTTGTAGCTATGATGGAAATGAATAGCGATTTGCAGGTAAGATATATTTTTTATTATATATATATTTTTTTAATATGAAGCATAAAACAACCAAATTCTTTTAAATGCTTAAATTTAATATCTGATTGACGGAAGATAACTGTTTTCGGAAAAAAATATCAAAGTGAAAAAAAATTATTTAAGTAAAGAAATTTTAATAAAAACAAATTGGCTTTACAAATAACTATTATGCTGTTTGTAGATACAGCTCTAATTATTAAAAATCCAAACGGTCACACATTAAACTTAGGAAATTCTTAAAACCAAGAAATTGTTACAGGTCGTGAATCAATGAAAACTAATTCAAAATGACATTCTATGTTTTGTATGAAAATAAATTAAAAGGATTTAATACTAGGAGAGGTTGCAATCATTATTCTATTCTTGCTAAATGGAATTATAATTATATTTCAATGAAGGATTGAGGACACTGTAACTCATATGTTCTGGGTTTTGCTGCACTGCCCGGAAAATATGGAACCGCAGTGTAAATATTAAATGTATATAGTATATTATATGCAAATACTATATGTAAATAGTATGAAATAGTATATATTAAAGTTTTGATCACACCCACAACCACCATTTTCTCAGATGAAAAAGTCATGGAGCTAAAGTTGTTTGATTTTGTATGAACCTTCTCTCTAACGATTCTACGGAATTCATTCGGTACATAATATGACTTATACCTTTTATAAAATATTTTAAAATATAATCAATAAAATAAAAATAATCAATAAAATTGTTGTACAAAGTTGAAAAATTTAGTTAAATCCGTATTGCTTAAACAATCATGAAAGCAGTTGGTATAAGATTTGTTAAATATTGAACAAACATAACGCACCAGACCATTATCTTTATCAGATATACGGAGTATTAAATATCATTAATACATAGACAAGAGTAATTTAAATATTATCAAACCTAACTAATTTGAGTTTTTCTTTAGGTGTTTATTCACAGTCCTCAAGAAATTCCAGAGTCTGCCAGCAAGTGGTTTCTTTCAGCTCAAAAGCATTATTTGGTAAACGTTTTGAAGTTTATATCGATATCTGACTACATTATAATAATTATATATATATATATATATATACATACAATAAATGACCCGTAATTGAGTTATTCATCTCCTTGTCTTATTCGAACATAATTGAATCGTTATTACTTACAATTAGAGGTATGTTTAAGATAAGCTATGAGATCAGCTCATTCTTGTGGTTTCTTGATTCCAGCGAACACCATCTTATTTCTTGGAATGTATTTCTTTGAGTTTTCTAAATATTTAAAGAAAGTATCCTTGCTCCATTTAATACCTTCAGTAATATTCGGGTTTAAATAGAAGAATCTTATAGCCTGAAATAAATAAATAAATGAAGTGAAAAATATTTTCCAGTATCTGTATGCTTGTAAATTTAAACTTTATCTTTAAAATCATTTCAGGCCCTGGAGTTTGAAGCTCTGGCTATTTACTCGACAGAGAACACTAGAGAACTGTCGGTAAAGCAGAGGAAGTGCAGGTTCCTAGACGAATCCAACCTGGAAACGAGTCCAGTATATTCTTATAATATGTGTAGGTCAGAATGCAGGATGCGGCTAGCTTTCAAATTGTGCAGCTGTGTGCCGTATTTTTATAGAAACATAGGTAAAGTAAGTTAAAATATAAAACTCTGGGTGAAAATAATTATCATATCGATCTTTAACTTCACAGATCTTGTAACAGACCATTTATAAAACGGTTAGAAACTGTTGGTATGCACAAATATTTAAGTGAAAACAAATACAATACATAAAGAAACTAAGAGAACCAACAAATATGGAATAACAGGATTCGGCCAAATCTTAAATATTAATCTATTCCAAACTATAAAATTTTAATTTACAAAGTATGTGAAGGAAGTTAGCCATCGATATAACCGAGACAAGTATTTCACACCGTTATCGCTACAACATAAGATTTAAACTTATCACTAATAAATAATAATAAAAAAATAAACCATCAGGTAGGAAATTAATTTATAATTTGTATAACGAATGTGGTATCAGATGGTATATATGACATAGGGCCATTATTTTCTAACTTAATTTTAAAATTAACTTCATAAACACTTCATGCTGATAATGCTACTTTTATTTATTAATTTTATTATTATTCTCATTTTTTAAAAGGAAAATACAGAATTTGTGACGTCGCTGGAATGCGCTGTTTGTCGCAGTATAAAGGTTATACACTTCATCAGATTTGGCTAAAATCAGTTTGAAATTATTTCTCTTATGCTCTCTAATATTATCATCTTTATGTTACAGAGCGATTGATTCAATTAAGGGATTCTGTTGGAAACAAACACAGATGTGATTGCTACCCGACTTGCAACGAAATAAACTATATTATACAAACTGATAGTTCAATAGAATGGTATTGTAAACAATCATACTCATTTTAACAATATATTCTATAATAAACTGGTTCTTTCTTAATCAAAGTTGAAGTTAATTAGGAAAAAACAGAAGCACATTTTGAAACAAAAAACACTTTTATTCAGAATAAACCAACAACAGAGAGTTTAGATAACTTAATCTAGTAGGAAATATAATTAAAATCTTCCAACGAGCAAAGAAACAATTCTATACAAATAAATATCTTATCTAACAACAGCCAACATAGCGATATATCAACATCAACATTAGTGTTGCCCAAAATCTGTCGGATCAACACGGCCTATCTGTTGCAAAACCAAGACTGGTAAAAACATCGATTTTTTAAATAATAATTGAGGCAAAATACTTACTAATACTTGAAAATTTTAGTTACTATAAGTAAAGAATTGGTGTAACCAATATACTTTTACATTTAACTCTTCTAATTTTTCATTCAGACTTAGTTAGGTTTCTCATATTTAAAAAAATACAGTAATATCTCTCTAGTAACAAGCTAATAGGCAACTGCAAGACTGTTACGAGAGTCTTGCGCAAGATCAAGACCTAGACAAAGACTGAGCTTGCAAGACCAAGACTCGTCTCGCATTTCGCATTGCGCTTCGAGTTGCTTTATTTGTTTCAATGGTTCATCGAGTATAACCTGCTTAATATAATCTTTATAACCTTCTTATCAACTTATTGTTAATCTAATCAAAAATCATGGCTTGGTATTTTGACATGAATGACTTATTATGTAATCCGTTGTTTAGAACTGTCCATGCGACGGTTCCTTTATCGACTCCAAACAATAAATAGTAAACTGCTTCTCCTAAATTGAAACTCCTAGATTGAAGGATTTGATAAACTTTGTATCTAATGCAAAACTAACTAAGTGATAATAGGAAAGTAAAAACTGAGGCCGGAGTGTAATTAATGAAAAATAAATAAATAAGGTTAATAAGCATAAAAAATTGAAAATACTAATGCTGATGATTGCGAGACCGAAGGATACTTACTAAATAATGTTCTTGTTCCTAGAGATCTACTATAACAAATTATTTATTTATTTGAATAAATGAATTTGGAAGAACTTGCTCTATACTGGAAAATATTGAAAACGAAAAAAATGCACATAAAAGCTATTTTTAAAACAAAAAATTTAAAACGATTACAATGGAAAGAAAAAGGTCTGATAATTATATATTGTGTTCATCGAAAATTAAATCTATTGAAGGAAGGAATCTTAAAAACGTTGTAAATTTGATCTTGTACTCTAGGAACAAAGCGTTTGATTAATGAAATAAATTATAAAGAATGAAAAAGTTCGAGAAACATCTTCGATAATAATTAAATTTCAGAAGATGGCATAATTTATTTAATCATACGCAATACTCCTAGCAGTACTTTAATGAGAAACACTTTTGTCTATTGACCATTACTTTTCGTTTTTGATGAGCTAAATTTGTAAGTTATGAATACTAAGTACTATGTAGTTCCATTAGGTATCCAACAATAGTCGTACTACAAGTTTAGTGCAGAAATGTTTTACTACATAATTTGGTTGTACTACAAGAAATTTCTCACAACCATTAGAATCTGAAATATACTTTTAAAACGCTCGGCCGTCACAGCCTCTTTTTTCCATGTTAATTTTGATATAGAGTTACTTCTGTCGAAGAGTTGGATTGAGAGTCCCTCCCCCAACTATGCCTGCGAAGCTTAGATAATTTTTAATGACATATGAAAATGCACAAATCAACGTTATATTCTCAAAAATGCCAAGCAAATTAAAGTAGAAACGATACAAAATTAGCGGTCTGACTGATATAATCTTAATTAGAAATTATATATGAATGAACATCTGTATTGAAGATAGTATATGTAATCCTGAATTGTATATGTATTCCTTATTGTATATATATATATATATATATGATGATAATTAAATCAAGTTTCTTGAAAGAAAATTAAAATTATATGGTGAGTTTTGAGACAAGGATCGATTTTCTGATAATATAAAATATACTAATGGTAAGGTGGAAGAACAAATTTCAATAACTGTCTTATATTAAATAATCGAGCAAACTATTCTGAACTTTTAAAAGTAAAAAATTTTGGACGAAAAACATGATGACATAATGGCAAGAACCTATGTTTGGTGGAATGGTCAAATGAAAATAACGGTACACACTCCATAATGGTGTTTTTTCAATGGTTAGACATATGGTATTTAAGGCTATAAACGTGTTTCTGAAGATAATAATCGTGAAGTTTAAATGAATGATACTACAATATCATAATATTTCCAGATACATTAGTTTATGAATATGCATTAAAAAAGGAAAGAGGATGAAGTGCAATTATGAAAAAAGAAAGGTAGCAGTAATAAAATACAGGAATAAATCTGAAGGTTGTGATGATGGGGAAAACCCAATTGGGTAGCGATGAAGCGAAAAATATGAAATTGATTGGAACAAGGAAGAACGACTATGCCCAGAGGAGGGCTATTTGGAAAGTCCAACTTTCAATATGTATAATCTTAAATAAAAAAATATATATATGTAGAGCTTAAAGATGACGGGTATAATTATTCTATATTTCAAACCTGTCAGTTTAATTTGTTTTTATGAAAATCTTGTATATCATGAATAATAATCTAGTACTGGAAAAAAAAAAATCATAACTAAATCGTTGAAATACCGGAACAATTTTTTTTTTTTTCATACTTATGATATCAACAGTCAACTACTTACCCATTTCTAAAGATTTTTTTAAATATTTAATTTTATCAATTTATTAGAATATTTTTTATTGAATGATCATTTAATCGGCACAATGTTAAAGTAACGAATGTGAAAAATCACTGAAGGAAGCTGTTCACTGCGAATATTCACTGAATATTTATCACCCATGACTGTTCTACATTCATGGGTGATAAATATTCAGGAAGCAGCCATTATAAACATATTTTTATCTGTGCCGACGTTTCAACCCAAACATGTGGGTCATCATCAAGGATGAAAATTTTATAATAATTTTATAAGAAAAGTTTATAATGACTGCGTCCTGAATATTTATCACCCTTATAGTACTTACTATACTACTATACTCAGTATATGCCCAAATTACTATATCTTATGGCAAAATGTCGAATCTGAAAGAGGAATCAGTTACGTAGTTTGTACGGATTTATAGCTTTATAAGATATATGGATGTTTTAGTAACAAATAATCACATTCGGCAAATTCACACTCGTTACATTAACATGGTACCGACGATTTTAAGAAATAAATCGTTGGATTCTTTCAAGGGTGATAGATATTCAGAAGGCAGTCTTTTAAAAAAAATTTAAATTTTTTATTTGTGGCAACGTTTCAACCCAAACATGTGGGTCATCTTCAGGGAGTGGTACTGAACTCGAGTACTTGAAAGCATTCAGTGCTCGAACCAAGACGTCCTGAAGATAACCCACATGTTTGGATTGAAATGTTGGCACAAATAAAAAACTAAATTTTTTTTTGAAAGACTGCGTCCTGAATAATTATCATCCATGATATGTAGAACAGTCGACTAGCTTTCTTCAACAGTTAGATTCTTTCATTATCGATGGAATGATTATTTCATTAATTTTATAAATATATGCTTTATTCGTAAATACATATACACAAAAACCTGTATATTCTGTTATATTTTCAGGCTACTAGGAACAAATTTTAAATACACTCTTATTAAATATCCTCGAAGTCGGTTGAAGAGAGACATAGTTTTTGGTGCTTCAGATTTACTAGGTAAGCCACAAAAAAGAAAAAATTATGAGCACCCTAAGACATTTTAAATTGATTTTTCATCTGAAGTTCGAAAAACATATTGAAATATGGGAAGTTTGTGAAAGCAGATTCAAATCTTTTTTAAACCTGACTCAGAGAAACGATCTGCAGTGTAATTAACAAAAAAGATGTACGATTAATACCTCAAAAATAATATTAATAAAACATCGTATTTTCCTCACAATATCTCTGTATATATTGAGGTGTTAATTACGGTTGATGGCAGTTCAAGACCACTATAGTATCTTGTGATAGTCTTCATTACAGAAAAATATATTGATTGTCATTGGACAAATTTCTTGGCAATTTTCTAGTTACCGTTTCTTTTACTACTTCTGTATTGTTTACTCCCTCCCTATCAATAAAAAAGGGGAAAAAGACTTTAATTTATCAGAATAATACACCCTTGATAGTAATAGTAATTAAAATAATATTGGAGCCGAAATGAGCACCAATTAACGAAACTAAGATCGTACCATGTCATGTTATCACGTTAAATAATTTTATTCTCGGAAATAACGTCCGTAAAGAACAATTGACGCAATTCAGAAATGGTGTCTTTTAATGGGGAAAACCCATGTAGTGAAAATAGAAATGCAAAAGACAATGTACCAAGAGAACCCAAACATGTGTCGTTTATATAATCATATTAAATCACTCTATGTATGATAAAATAAAAATTTAACATCAATTTATTTCCTAAACATCATTACCAATTATTATGCCAAGTACTCATTTTAATACAAATATATCCATGTGATCCACCTCGAATACGATTATAATGAACAAATTAATGTATTTTGATTGGGTAGAAAATTTTTGGAAAAAAATCATTTCACTTTTTTTATAAATATTATTTATTTTTAAACTAAAATGGAGTCGGGTCGAAACGTCGGCTTTTAATAAAAATAGTTTTACCACTACTTAGCCTATTTATGACCGCCACCCCGAACAATCTCCTTCCTTTAAACTAAAATGCCTAAATACTTGCAATATATATTTATATATCACATAAAAGGAACCAAACGTTGTTTTAAAAAATCATAAAATGAGTATAAAACGAAACTTTAAAGCGCTTTAATGGAATGGAAAGAGACATATCTGTATTTTTTTTTAGTTCTAACTGTGGAGAAATCATAGTCTTAAAAACTTTATCATTTTTAAATATGAATTTTCAAAAACGATCAAAAGTCGTTTTAGGCGATTTAGTGAATTAATGTATATAGGTATATACATATAATGTAACTAAATATACATAATATAAACTATTTATGTTTATACTAGTAATATATATAAATATTGTGGCTCATAATCAAAATGATACATTGGGATATTGATAGGAATTATTGAGTAAATAAATAGTTTAATTTAAATTGCATTGGGAATAATAATTAATTTTAATCAATAAACATCCTAGTAATAGTAATAATAGTAATATGTTCTTTTCTTATTTTCTTTTTCTTATCTTATGTTATGTTTTCTTATGTTCGGTTTTTTTGTGTTGGCGTGTATATCGGCTTCTGGTAAAATAAATCCTCACTTTATAGATGGTAAAACGTTTTTACATAGACATTTTGAAAAGAAATTTGAAAGAAAGTCTGGAGCTAAAAAACAAATTTAGTTTTTATCTAGATAATGATACCAAACACTCTGCCATGTTAGTTAAGGAATGGCTAGTTTATAACTGCCCTATAGTTATAAAAAACTCCACCAGTCTACAGAATTTAATGTGATACCTGTGGGCAAAATCTGAGATAGAAATTCGAAAACACGAAATTTTTAGCAATGAAGAGTTAAAAAAAATATCTCCTAGAAGAGTGGAACAGGTAAGACTCGGTGTGAGATATGTATCATTTAACTATGAGGTAAAAAAAAATTTAGTTAATTTTTTTTAAATAATTACAGTTGAATATGTTTAAATCATTGAGTTTTTACATATTAATATTATAGAAATAACTATTAATATTATAGAAATAATATAATACCAACCAATCATCGTTTTTACCCGTGCTTCCTATTCATACTGTTGAAACCAATGCAGGTTAAGACAATTTCGAACATTTAATTTAAGTCCAAAAACCATATTTCTCATAATGTAGTATAAGATTTTAAGTTAGTATTCAGCTCTATACACAACTTAGCATCCTCACAAAACTTTGGAGGTATGTCACGTCCTAACTATATCCTTAAACTTGACCTATCTCTAAGAATTAGATTTAATAGAAATAAATAATAATTGATCTGAAACATTGTACCACTTAAACATATATACATATTTTAAATTAAATAATAATTATTTCTATTGATTTAATGTTAATAGATGGATTTCTATTAATTTAATGTTAATATATATGGATAATATAATTCAGTGAACAGAAGTTAAGAATATTATTTTGTCAGATCCATATTTTATGAGATCTTTGGGAAAAAAAATAATAAATAAAAAAACAGAGCTTTCGGTGGTGTTTTTTTTTTTAACTTGAAATAAAAACGCGACTTGGAAGTATTTATAAGTATGGTGGGGACTGAGGGTGTGTTCTGTGTCCATCTTTAGGTGACGTATACGGCTGCCAAAAATTATATCAACCAACTCTTATCCTTAGTTTATAAACATACATTTATAAAAACCAATAAAATATATTTTTTTGAAACTAAATATTTCTGTTCAGAGATGACTTTAATTTTTTTTTACTGTTATAACCTAATCTTTCGCCGAAAAATAAAAATTGATGCTAGGAGCCAATTGTACCAACCCTTACAGCATATCGAAAAAAAATGGAGATAGCTTGACTAGACTATTAGGTAGTAATATGATGGATTATTATTATGATCAAAATATAAATATATTTTATTATTAATTTTTTTTTCAGTTCAGTTTGGAGGAACAGTTGGCCTCTGTTTAGGATGCAGCATACTTAGCATTGTGGAAATATTTTATTTTTTTACGCTTCGTTTGTATCTTTTCATAATGGATAAAACAAACCACCATTGACCGGTAGTTAATTTTGATTCAAATCTCTGAATGGAATTACTCATAAAGATTTGAAATCATCTTCAACAGCAATATAAAGAATACATTGTTTTAATTCATATGCCTTTTCAGCTTCTTGAACTAGAGCCAAATAAAGATGCTTAGTATCAATGCTTTGATATTTATTTTTCCAATGTATTTATTTAATGTCATGGCAACCAATATGATATATAAATGTTAAGTCCATACCGATATCGCTCAGTATTGTCGGTGTGATTTTTATTTACGACAAATTGCACTCTGTAAGCACTAAGGAGGCAAACAGTAACTTTCACAATTTCACACCATCAATCCTTTCTCGGCTCCGCTTTAATTGATCATATAGGATTCTGAGGGAATCATTAGATTCCTCTTGAGTTACTCTTTCCAATCGAATTTTATAGTTCATCCCAGTCTGTGATGGATTTACGCACAGTCAGAATAGCCACTTGCCTTGAATAGCAAATTCTGGAGGGCGACAGAATTTGAGTTTAATTATATACATGGATCATCTCCCAGAAAGTGTCGATCCGCATGCATCTTTTTGGAAAAAGTATAAGCCTCGATAAAATTCTAAACAAAAAAACACTGATTACCTTTTGATCATCCTTATTAAATTATGTTTGTTAATCGTACAAGAACAAACTAATTTAATGAAATAAAAAAATAATCAAGAAAACGTCACGACGAATGAATGGCATATTAGTACGGATCACTTGCATGAACAAACATTGGAAGGTGACAATAATAGAGAGTGTTTTCAGAATATATAATATCGAATGATGAATAAAATAGAGCTTTCATTATATATCATTTTTTTTTAAATCTTATTTATTGAAAAATATTACAATCTGTCTCAAGGACATTTATAATAATGTTCACAGATCACATTCACACTCAGTATCACTTTTATGTACAGTAAATAAAATAAATTATACAGAAAAATAATATATATACAATAAATAAGAATAAAATAACCTAAAAATAAATGAATAAAAAGAACACATACATACTTATATACGATATTTACAATCTTGTGAGAGAACTCCAAACCAGACTTGTCCCTTCAAGTGTGGAGGGAAAAGCATGGCTCCAGGAGATCCCAGCACTTCTCTCTCAACCGCGTTACTGGGGCTAAACCCAGTGGAGATTGAGCAAGAGTGCTTATATATATCATTAAAAAAAAAAAAAATACCAACTCAAAAATAACTTCAAATACGAATTAGCTTCTCACCAACATCTAAATGTAATGATAAAGAAAATGAAAGGTAATCAATTATTGGAGGAACTTAGTCGACTGTTCTACATATCATAAATATATAGGTGATAAATATTCAGGGCGCAGTCATTATAATATCTTTATTAGTGCCGATGTTTCAACCCAAACATGTAGGTCGTGTTTCGAACATTGAAGGTATTCAAGTACTCACAAGGAATTCAGTATTTGAATACTTTCAGTGCTCGAAACACGCCCTGATGATGACCCACATATTCTGGTCGAAGCGTCGGCACTAATAAAAAGTTTATAACGTCTGCATCCTGAATATTTATAACCCATTATAAGTTAATTTATTTATGATGTGTACCAACAAGTTGACAACCCAAAAATAAGAGGATAAGTGATGTACGATGGATTCCTATTTTACCGAGTACCTTAGAACTGGTAGAGAAAATTTCTTCATTCCTTAAGATAAACGTAGGTAAGTATAAAGAATATATGAACATGCAGGTGGGAGCGAGATTAGTAGCAGTATTTTACGGCTATCCAGAAGTTTATTTGCTATGGATGTTGTATTTAAAATATCAATATCCACAAGAACGTCTAATGATAATTTTTTCAAGTTAGATATACATTGACTTCTAGTGACTTCTGCCAGGGGGCGCCCTCTTTCTCTGGACGGTGGAAAAATAATTCCGAAAAAAAAATCTAAAATACAACTATTTAAAGAAAAGAGAAATATATCGAAGATTCATCCTCTAAGACGTATTTTCTAATGTAATAAAAAAAAAAATTATTATTTTTGCGGCCAGCACTAGTTATTTCTGCAATGGGGCACGCCTCCCTCCCCTGGATGGTGAAAAATAGTTCCGAAATACCAATAGTATCAAAAAATAACTATTTAAAGAAAAGAGAAATATAGGAAAAATTCATCCTCAAAAACGAATTTTCTAATGTGATATAAAAATAAATTACTATCATGACCAGTACTTGCGAGTTTTGCCATGGGGTGCACTACCTGGATGGTTGATGGAAATTCCGAGCTATTTGAAGAAAAGGAAAATATAGGGAGAATTCATCTTCAATGAACAATTTTCTAATGTGATATTAAAAATAATTATTATCATGACCATTTTTATTAACCTTACAGTTTGTCATATCAGGATACCTCGCCAGGCTGTGGGTCAACTTGCGCCCGGCCTTTGGCGCACGAAGAGATTTTTTGAAACAAAGGCTAGAATATAAGAGCAAAAGTTGGATAGCACGGTGAAGTGATGCAATTTAGGGGCCGTCGCACAGTGGGACGAGTAGGGGAAATCTCGCGACATTGGCTAAATCAATTTTTTTTAAATTGAACTATTCAATACAAAAAGTGAAAAATGTTTATTCTGCCAACTGATAATATTCTCACTTATTCAAGAAGGTATCAATAAAACAGTTTATCTAGTTTTGGGGTTCTTATAAAAAAAAACAGATTTAGCCGATGTCGCGAGTATTCCCTTACTTGTTCTGTTTGCTGTGAGCCGTGAGCTGCGAAGATTTGTGCTCCTGTTGCAGTTTGTTCTTACTGACTTCGAACTCGTAGGTGAAACGTCTCGAGGTGAAACGTGAAGAGTCTCGTAGGTGAAATGACATGATAGAGGAAAAGTAATTTATAAAAAAAAAACTATATTAATTCTTTCGAACAACCTTTTATTAGAGCACAAGAAAATACGGTTTTTCCCACTGACCCAGTTTTTATTAAGTTCCAACAGAAAAATCTAATTTATCAAAAAATATGCACAACTAAAAAAAAAAATTTTTATTTTAGAACTTCCGTACATTTCCCGGAATTTTCCCGTACTTGAGAAATTCCCACTTGTCGGGTAATTCCCGGTCGCTGGACTCCATGAAAGACCTACTTATTGTCATACTGCATGCCTTTCATTTATGTTCGTACTTAGTAGCTTTCAGTGAGAACGGAATTCCCCCGGCTCCAAGTACAACTCATTAAATATTGAAGTCCCTTTATCAGTCAAACAAAAAATTTAACAGAGGTGCAAGAAAAAAAAATCAACCAATAGGCAAACTGTACTTATGTGGATAAAATAAGGTCGTGAGGCAGATATATCTGCTTATATCAAAATAAGGGGAGGACCAGAATAAAATTTAAATAAACATTTTTCAAATTCTACCAATCTCAATAAAATAAAGTCACGAGGCCGATATATCCGACTTTATTCAAATCTATTTATATGCAGACCCGTTGACGTTAGATCAACACACTTATTAGAAATAAAAATCATATTCAATGTGAAAGAGGCCTATTTATAGGTAAAGAAAAACTCAGGCTTAAATTAAATTAAATAAATAAAAAATAAAATAAAAGTTCTAACTTCATCAATCTCAATAAAATAAAGTCGTAGGGCCGATATATCGGTCTTTGCTCAAATTTATGTTTATGTTGATCCCTTGAGGAATGATTGACATATTTATTAGCAATATAGATAATATTCAGAGCGAAACAGGCCGTTACATCGGTTCAAGGAGATGACCAGAAAATTTGGAAGATGTTTACAAGAAAAAAACAGTGCAAACTTTACCAATCTCAATAAAATAATTGATAAGGCCGAGATGTTTATGCAGGCCCGTTTACGTTTGATTAACACATGTATTAGCAATAATAGCAATATTTATTGTGAAAGAGGCCAATGCATCGTTAAACATAGGATATCCTGCTGAAAATCTGGAGAGAGGATTTGAAAAAAAAAAAATCCGATATAACGATATGTCGGCGTTTGATATCGGCCTATACCGATAATCGGCCAAAAGTCCGACATGCCGATATTAATATCGGTATCGGTCGATTTCTAATGTATATGATGATAAATTTACTTGTAGCCCTTATAAATCTTCTCGCTTTCTGTGAGTTTCTTATATGGTAGAGAACATATAACATTGCATACAACGTTCAAAGTAAATAATTATCAGCTTCCCAGGGCACAGCTTGGTAAGAAGTGTCACCTTTGTGTCGACTTCTCCCACTGCTTTTCAAAATAGGTTCATTCTCATCTTTAACGTAATACTAAATTCCGAATAATCCTACAAATAATTATTCACACTCGTTTAAGCAAAACGAAATAACTGACTTAAAAAAATTGTTGTGGTACATTACATCCTGTATTAATGCAGGGCGGTCCCTCCACGTCCAGTGGTATAATAAAAGGCCTCTGGCCACAGATGCAAAGAACGCATACAGCGTGCATAGCCCTCTTACCTTAAAATGGCAATAAAAGGAAATTTGAAAATTTATGTATATATACGTTTATATATATATTGTATTTATTCAAGAAATTCCTAGGGAGTAGGAAAAAAAAAAAAAAAAAAAATTACATCCTGAAAAGACGAAAGGAATTATATTTTCATACCAAAAAAGAAAAAAGAAAATGCCAAATGAATTCAAAATTAACAACAACAGTATTAAATTATCGACTGGTTTAACATATCTCGGTATTCACTTAGACAGACATTAAAAATTTACTAGACATTTTGACAAAAAAATTAAAACAGTAAGATCTAAGATGTACAGACTCCAAAATTTAATTCGGACAACAAACTTATCTTTACGCTTAAAGCTTCTGGTATATACGGCCGGCTCTATTGCACGGGCGGATCTACGGGGGGGGGGAGAGAGACTTTCGTGCTGAAGCCCCCCAAAATGGTAAAATATAGCCGTGTTTTATCGAAAAAAATATTTAAAAAGTATCTCTTAAAGTATCATTGTTCGTGTAATTACAGTTAATAGGGCTTTATGAATCACTTAAACACAATTTCATACAGGTAGTTAGTTTCTTTCTTTTTTTCCAAAGTAATTATGGTTATTTTTATGAAAAAAAACAACTTTCGGGCTGAAGCCCCCCAAAATTAAATCCTGGATCCACTAGTGCTCTGTTGTATGGTGCACCTCTGTTCGAACATATCAGCAAATAACTGGGAAAAGATTACTATTTCCAGAATGGAATAATTAGAAAAATTGTAAGAGGAACTACCCTACAGAGAAAGAAGACATTGGATATACAAGCAACACTAAATTTAGCAACAATAAAAGAATTTCTCGCAAAACGAAAAAAATCATTTTTCGAAAAATCCCAACAATTGGCAAACCCTCTTTTCAATAACTTATTACCATCCAAAATTCCGAAACGTTGGCAACAAATCACATAAGATAGGTGTTTTATTGATTTAGTTATAAGCTCTAGAGGATAAGATCAACTCAAGCCTGAGGTGATCCCCATCACATTTTATATTACAGATGAAGAACAAAATATTCAGAAACGACAAAAAAATCAAAAAATACACCTTACACTGCTTATAAGCAGTAAAAGGATTATTATGAAGACAATGAAAATCCCAGGAATCAAGACAAAAATAAATAAAAAGGGGCTATGGAAAAAGAAATACATTCCTATAAAAAAATAAAATAAAATAAACTCCGACATTTAATCAAATCTATTATAATATCAATGGTATAAATTATTTAACATATTTAAATAAAATCAGGTTCTTTTTTTTTTTTTTTAACTTTTATTATGATATTTACAACTGTATGTAGTATGAATACATCAAGTAAATGTGTACAGAGGAATAAAATAACATCATACACGCTGGATCTTAAATAGGTAAAAGGACCTAAATAATATAAAAGAAACTCTTAGCATTTGATTATGATGTTTTAAAATGTTGGAAACAATTGTTTTAGCCCAATGATTGTCTTTTTAATAACAAAAAACACATCTATATTCCGCCATCTGTGTTTTTATCTTGTGATGTTGAAATCATAATAATTGTAAGTTTTTTTTTCTAATGAGCCAGCGACTGGAGCAATTTCCTTCAAATGCTACACATCAATTATTTCGTTCACCACGGCTGAATAAAGTAATCGTAAAATAATACTGATAGATTTTTCTATCAAAGCTGATATCAGTATTATTTGCATATTTCACTAAATTTAAGCAAATTATTTTCGACCATAAAATCAAATTCACTCAACTACACTGACCGTAATAAATCAACACGTTTTTAATCGCAACGGAATATTTTTCTAGTAATTTATAAAAAAAAAATAAAAAAAAATATCATTTAAAAGCTTCATCGCAAAGACAGAAACATGTTCATTTTTTTCATGCAAAATTCCATAGCCTTTAGCTGTCTCAATAAACATCCTGCCATTGGTCATATGAATCTACACACGTTTCTTGATTCGTTGCTTGCACAGCTATGCATACAAACATTTGAAAGCAGTATAAATTTGAGTAATACACTCCAAGCCCAGAGATCGTTCGGCAGGTGAGTAGTATCATTCATTTAGTATAGTTGAAGGGCTCATTAACTTCTATAAATTAGAGTGTATTTCTTATTCGTAATATTACGATCTTTGAAAACATAACGGTTGTCAATTTATTTTTCTAAATTTTGTTATTCATAAGTGTTTTTATTTTTTCCCACGTTGGAAGGGACATAGCTACCCCACTTTGTCCTTCCCTCTCCTATACATTAATTATATCCTTGGTTCTGGCATACAAAAATTACATGATAATATCAACACTTAGATCGACCACGATGAAAATCATTTTGTTGATTATGAATTTTCACAACTCTTGAATGTTAGATTTATCTAACAAATTTTTTATTTAAATCTTACTGTAAATTCAAGAAAGAATATCAAAGTTTGCTTTAGCAGTTCGTGGAGAAAGTTTCCAAGTTATGACTTATTTTCTTTTAGTTTTTTATTTTAAATATTATTATTCATTTTTCGTTATATTTTTTCATGACATAAGATTAAATGATAAGCAATTATTGGCTAATTGATTGTTATGCAGTTTGTTTTTTATATTATAATTATAATATTTTAAAAATTTACCGTTTTCTTCTTGTCTGGTCAACAACCGCTATCGAATTATATGTCCTTCTAAAATCCACATCCTGTTGGTTCTATCTCGAACTGCACAGATAGAAGATAGAAGCTTTTCACAACAGAATTCTGAAGATATTCCGTTCTGATCACAATCAGAACTGTGAAAAAATTATTTCAGACAAATGTTATATCTTCAGGCTTAACAATTTTAATGGAAAGAAAAATGTATAAGAAGGATGCATCACGTATCTAAAACTTCAATTCATGAACAATAATAATAATTTTGAAAATATCGTATAGCGCTTTGTCGTTTCTTTCCTAACTTTTTAATGAATGTTAATGAGCGCATTAAAAACTTTATGATATATGGAATGAATGATATGTCGAAAAAATGATATGTGTAAGCCGAAGGTAGGAGAACATTCTATTCGTGTGGGAGGTTATAAAAAAAAAATTATGCTCAGAATCGAAAATTTCCACTAGCGTATTACGTTTCAGACACCAAGGATCAAATTTGGTTCGGTGTCTGTCTGTAGTCAAATCGATATGACGGGAATATCGAATTATATATCCTTCTAAAATCCTCATACAGTTGGTTCTATCTCGAACTGCACAGATAGAAGATAGTGAACATGTTCCGTTCTGATCACAATCAGAACAGTGAAAAAATTATTTCAGAAAAATGTTATATCTTCAGGCTTAACAATTTTAATGGAAAGAAAAATGTATAAGAAGGATGCATCACATATCCAAAATTTCGATTCATGAACAATAATAATCATTTTGAAAATATCGTATAGCTTAGTCGTTTCTTTTTAACTTTTTAATGAATATTAATGAGCGCATTAAAAACTTTATATTATATGGAATGGATGATATGACAAAAAAATGATATGAGTAAGCCGAAGGTAGGAAATTACGTTTCAGACACCAAGGATCAAATTTGGTTCCCTTGAAATCTCAAGGGATTGTGCGGGTTGGTGTCTAGATGGTCCCATATCAATTTCATTAAATTTCATATAGTACTTCCACTTGCGCATGCGCAAATATATTTTCTTAGATATGCTAATATTTCAGAAACGAATCAATGTATGTGGTTCAAAGATGAAAGATAGGTGGGCATTGGTAAAATAATGATGCTGTATTCATTTTATTGAATTCCGTAGAGTACTTCCGGTTGCGCACGCGAAAATGTATTTTCTTAGATATGCCGATATTTCAGGAACGGCTCATTCGATTTGGTTTAAAGCTAGAAGAAAGGTGAAAATTAGTAAAATTAATATTAGTGCAATAGTAATAGACCTTGAGATATAGGTAAAAGTGCGGAACCAATGGAAATAATTAGCTATACTGGCCTCACTTGGCTGACATTTTTAATATTTTGTTTGGCCATTTGAAGCATTTGACCTGTTTTTATTTTATACCCTCTCTAAAGATAAAAAGGAGATAAAAAGAGGTGGAGGAATCTAGGACAGCTGCTATAGTTTCCTAAGGTCTGGAAGCAATCCAAAAAAAAAAAAAATGTGTATATATTTATTATCATCATATCTATATATCATATCTATATATCGATGTCTCATTTAATGATTTTTATAAATCTTAACATTCCAATAATGTTAGCTCCGTTAAGGATGTTATGGTTTAAGACCTATTCATTTTTTAAAACTATGTTTGAAATTCATGTTCATTTTAAATATATATTTATCTGTTACCTAGAACCATGAAATGTCTTCAGATCACGTTCTTTTTATTTACCTTATCAGTATTCTGCAGAAGCGTTCAATCGACAAATCCTACATGCGAATGTGGTTGGAGAAACAGGGTAAGCTTACCAGGTTTTCAGATTTTAATAGATCTATTTATAAATTCAGAAATACTTCTCCATTAAAAAAAAAATCAGTTATAGTGGAAACTAATGTTTGACATATAGGCTAGAATCATTGGAGGAAAGGAAACTTGCAAAAATGAATTTCCTTGGATGGTTGCAATTGGAGACATAAAAAATAATTTTTCACAATTCTGTGGAGGAAGCATTATAACCCCTTGGCACATCCTCACCGCTGCCCACTGCACTGAGGGGAAAGATAGCGATGACATTGGCGTTATTATCGGAGGCCACGATATCACAAATCGTAAGACTTTAATGTTTTCATAACAAATTATTTTTAAGTGAAGTTTTCAATAATAAATAAATTGATATCGATTGATCCGTCTTAATATCATTTGTATCATTATTCACTGTATATAAAAGCCACTAAATGATTTTTTTTTATGAATATATTTTTTCCTAATACCTCCAGAATATCTGTATTTCTTACTCGGCCAAAGACTTTTGTAAGATCAATAAAGTACACCGAAATTTCCTTATCTTTTTCTAATACGTTTTCGAAGACCTGTCTCAGGACAAAAATAAGGCTCTAGGTACTCCGATTTTTACGATTTAGTATCATTCCATTCCGTACTTTTCATTCTCTTTGATTAATCGTTCGATATTTTTTCTTACCTTTTCTAGAAAATTGAAATATATTTAACATGGCTCGATGGGTGTTACGGTCTCAGTCATCCCTCTCTTAAAGTATAGGGCAACAACGATCAATTTCTAATCTACCAGAAGTATTAAACATAATCTAAATTTCAGGGATAACTCCATCGTTAACTACGGATTTCCTCAAATTCATACAGCTTTTCAAAGATTCTTATTTTCTTCAATTACTTTTTTAGCCTCATAGGGCCTCTATCCTCTTATCTTACTCACTGATCTAATTTTGTTTTACGACAAACTATTGCTGCATTATGATGAATTTCTTAAAGTAGGGTGAGCATATTTTTAAAACGTCCAAATCCCATGTTAGCCGAAGTTTCCGGATATTCTTTCAATTTCTATTGGGTAAAATATAACAATCTCCTCTTCTCATTTCAACTTATTCACTTTATTTCTTTCGTTTGGAACTCTCATGTAGTATTCTTGATACTTCTTTTTCTCTTCCATACTCTAACTCTCTCTCCTGATTCCATCGTTAGCAGATAATGATTGTTTTCTATTTCGAAACCTTATTCAATTCAATCAAATCTTAGAGAGCATTCTTTTTTACTAATAAATGTTGTAGGCTTAATATTTCTGGTTAGTTCTTCTCTTGTAAATTTGTGTGAATTATTATGACCACATTTGCTGTTAGCAACTATCATTTATTTCGCAGAATTGTTTCTCCTTTATTGATTTTAACGTCTTTTAAATGGACAACTAAAATCGTCAACTATCCTCTTTAAATCTCCGACTACAATTAGATCTTCTTGCACATCATCTATTTCTCTGTAACAGAAATCTTTCTCCTCTGTAGTGATGGGGTTATTGAACAATACGCAGCCTATGATGATAGTATTCAAGATATCTTTCAATTTCTTGTCAATCTGCATCAGCCAACCGCTTACAAATTGCCATCCTTTTATCACCATATTTATCAAAGATTCCTTCAACATAAAATCTACACCTATGTAAGCTATTCCGTTTTCATTGGTTCCGGAATAAAGCAGAATACTATCACCGACCGTTTCTCTTCCCTATACTCATCTTTTAATTTTAGTTATTGCCGGGAAATCAACCTTTATTTTCATCCCCTCCAGCAACTCGTATTTCTTCCCCTTCAATCCCCGTACCTTCAGAATTAATACAAAATTGAATTCTTTAAAAGCTGTTCGTCTGTATCACATCTATTACTCGTGATACTTGAAGATTTGGATGCGCATGGTAATCAGCCTGTGCAGTCCTAGGACGGCCCCTTAAGATCCTGGAAGTCAGAATTATACTTCGGAGAGAGATAATGATAATAATTTCATTTCCTCTCGATTTAATTTTTACAAACAGTTAACTCGATTACTATTCTAATGGAGTCAATCCCTTTTCAAAATCAATGGTTCATTTGAATTTCATGCAGAAATATTGATTTTCTAAAGAAAAAAATATTTTTTTCGAGGAAGCTACAGCTCTCCATGTCCTCTTCATGTGGTTACGTATCTGATGGATTAGTAATATTACTTTTTGTGTGCGCGTAAATATATACATCAATTATTTACAGTTGGAGAAGATACAAGTGAGCTGATCACCATAGAACAAATCGTTGAACATGAGGATTATGATGAAATTAAATTCATTAACGATATTGCTATCTTAGTAACTTCCGAGCAGATATTTCTTAACAAGAATGTTGGCCCAGTTTGCCTTCCTAACAAGAGGATTAATTTGGTCGATCAATACGTTAAGGTTACAGGTAATATATGTATTTTTAAATTATATTTAATAAAAATAGTTTTCAGAAAATCCTAACTTATTGTGTATAGCCATGATGAATTTATGAATATTTCTTTGCTAAAGGTTGGGGACTGACCACTCATCCTGGGAAGCCTTCATCGGTTCTGCGGCAGGTGAATTTGAAAGTTATACCCATCGATCAATGCAAAAAAGACTGGTCGGACATTTCTGAAACAGATCCTCCAACGCAACTATGTACCTTCAGGAAAAACAAGGATTCATGTTTCGTATGTATTAAATGACTAAATCTTTCATGTTTATATGATGCATTTTTTGTTTTGTTTCGTTTTAATTTGTTGGAACCTCAATTCTTTTTTCCATTACCAAATTATATTTGAGTGCTAATACTTTATACAGCGAATATATAAAATCAGAAATTTACAGCAAGATTCTGGCGGTCCTCTTGTCTGGTTAGATCCTGACACTAATAGGTTTATACAAGTTGCCTTGGTCTCTTATGGTGGAAAGTGTGGAGGATCACGCCCAGCAGTCAACACAGCTGTTTTCCCTTTCTTAGAATGGATAAATGCCCATGTAGAAGGTGAGATATATAATTATTTATTGTACTAGGATAATAGTATATTGAGATGTTAATACTTAAAATAATGGAGAGTAAGAATTACTAAAAAATAGTAAAAAATCTCATTTCGATTTTATAGAAACCAAACCCGAAGCACATGTCTGTATGGTAGAACCGATATCTTCTCAGCATCAAACTCAGACTGGACAAGACCTTAGTGATATATATAGTTTATTCGATACTGATTCATAAAATGTGTCATTGTGTTGACAATAAACCAGACAAGCATGTAAAGATTATGAATAAATGAGAATTAATACAAAATAACATATTGTCCCTATTCAAACCAAATAACAGGCTTATTATTTTAAAATCTTACTTGAATAAAAATCTTCTTATTTACTCTTCCTTATACCTGACATTGCTGTATTTTATTGCTTATTTAGTTATACAATAGATGTGAATGTAGAAATGAAGTTTAAAAAAAAAATCATAATAGTTTACTATAAGAACCCTTATGATACTTTACAAGGCTTTAATCTTGAGGCTCAGGTACTGTAGGCTTAACAAATCTTTAGGTGTTATCAGCTTTGATTGGTTGAAAAAGTTTAGAATGAATGACACAGTCACGGTCAAAATAAATTAGAACACACGTGCAGGTTTCAAACTCACTTATGATTGAGAAAGAAGTTCTGTTTACATTGAATACTATATGTATACAGGGTGTCCCGTAGGTTGAGGAAAATATTTAAAATGTTGATATTAGACATCAAGATCTACAAAAAAGTTCATATAAACAATTGCAATCATATTCATATAAACAAGCAGAAAAGTAGGAAATTTAAGATTTGTGTTTTTTTTTTTGTGTGTTCACGTTTTTTTGTTTAATAGGAAGTGATGACTTGAAAAATATTTTATTTGAGTAATTAAACATTGCTCCATAGTAAAATAGACAAAAATTGTTTTAAACGAAAGTAGAGTTTGTCATTGTTAAAATTATTTAAAGAGTGCTATTGGGTGGAAAACACAGCTAAGTTTAGTTTAAAAAAAAGTCATGAATTATTTGCGATTCTTTTTATCACCCGTACTTTTTTATCAACTATATTAGATTTACCCCACTTTTAAAAAAAGTCCTCGTTTAATAAGCTTTAAATCCATATTAATTAAGTTGAGGTTTATTGGGAAACATTTTGAAATTCACCCCAATTTGTCTAAAGAAATAATGTAACTTCATATTCAGTCATCTTAACGAACCCATGTTTTCTGCAAAAATTACTACAATTAACTGCTGCAAAGCTTTTATTTCTTGCTTATAAGTGACAAACTTCATGTTTCTTACTAAAATTTACGTTTAAAATAAACAAACCTGCTGATGGCTTCAATTATTTTCATGAAAACGTATTATATAATAGAGATTGAAACATTAAGTTTATCACTTATAAATACACATCAATTCCTACGACAAAAATATGGGAGATGAACACAACTTCATAACAACCTTACGCGAAAAATATTTGAAGTCATTATTTTTAAATTTTTTATTTTTATAAATAAAATGTGTTTTTAGAAAATAAAATATTTATTACAATACATCTCATATCACGGAAAAACAAGAAATTAAATTTTTGCAACAGTGAATTTTAGTCACTTTTACTGAAAACATGGGTACTTTAAGGTGACTTGATAATAAATCACATCATTTATCTACACAACTTAAGGTGAATCCCAAATGTTTTCCTAATAAATCTCAATCACGTTAATATGGGCTTATTAAAAGAGGAAGTATTTGGAAAAATGGGGTAAATGTAGTACAGTTAAAAGGTAATAAAAAAAAACACAAATAATTTATCACTTTATTTTAACAAAACTTAGATGTGTTTGTCCGCCCCATAGTCCTCTTTAAATAGTTTGAACAATGACAAACTCTACTTTTGTTTAAAATAAATTTTGTCTAGTTTACTGTGGAGCAATGTTTGTTACTTAAAACAAATATTTTTTATGTTATCGCTTCTTATTCAACAAAAAACGTGGCTCGCTCAAAAAAACACAAATCTTAAATTTCCTACTTTTCTGAAGGAAATTTGACAATTATTTATATGAAAATCTTGAAGTCTACTATCAACCTTTTAAATATTTCCCTCTACTTACGGAACGCTCTGTATATTTTCTCTCTCATATTTTTTAATCTGCGGTGGTCAAGCACACGAGTAACTTTTTTATTTCTTATACATAAAAAAAAGTAAGATTTGACACTAACTTTGCACTTTGGATGCTTACATTTAAAATGTGAAGGTGGGAGGTGGCTGTTGGAGGTGGGTGCTTGGAAACAGGGGTTGAGCCAGCGGCGGCTGGGGGCGGTATTTTCTAGCTCCTACAGTTTCCTCAACTCCTGATGTGAGGGATGCAGAAAAACATGCCCCTCGCATTCCTTACTCGCCGCCCCCAGTTAATATAAATTTATTAGAACTGGTGCAAAGCCAACTTACTCTCTGGATTTAAACTATATGACCTCTTTGTTGTGTAAGCTTATAAAATGAGCTAAATTGTTCAGATTGTCTAATTATATTGTAACAATTGTTTGTTTCATCATAATAGTCAATTCTTTTGATATTCTACTTAATTACAATTTTAATTATGAGAAAGTAAACTAAACATGAGAGTTAACTAAATTTTAAATATGAGAAAGTAAATTTGACGATAGCCCAAAGCCAATCATCCAAGGATTAAGAGAGCTTCTTCAAAAATTATAATAAACCAAATGTTTAATGTATGGCCGGAACTAGAGAGAGTAGCCAAAGAGGAAACTAGTCCAAACGGCAGAATATTCGAACGTAATTTTTCTTAACACACCCAAGACCACTAACGGATCCAGGATTTAATTTTGGGTTGCTTCAGCCCGAAAGCTTTATATATATATATATATATATATATATATATATATTATGATAATTACTTTGGAAGAAAAATAATGTAACTATCTACCTAAATGAAATGATATTTAATTGATTCTTGAGGTCCAATTAAATGTAATCAGACGAACAATAATATTTTTTTTTTTTAATATCGTTATATTTTACCATTTTGGGACGGGGGGGGAGAGAGAGTTCAGCCCGAAAGCCACTACCCCGTAACCGTCTGTGTTTAAGACTAAGAAGTTGGCTCAATATTTATTAGTGCCAACACCATTCATTACTTTGGGACTACTTTCATAACACAAGACTTATTATCAAATATTTCAGTAATAATAGTTGTGCCGTTGGAAAGGGTTGACACTAGGATTCATTCATGACATTGACTGAGGTCAGAACAATCAAAAAGGGGCCAATTTAAATTGTCTGAGATTGTTATGATTAGATTTATTTTTCATTCCATTTTCTATCTTTATTGACCCTGACAATTTTTAATTTGTTATTTAATTGTATTATTTTATCTTAAAAACTTGTCGTATATTGTACGAAAAACAAAGTGTTACTATTATCGACAACTGCACCAACCGTTATTAATAGTTTAAATAAAAAGTTCACATTGTCAATTTTCAAATAAAAATGTTCAGAATGACCTACGGTATTAGTGCCTGTACAGTCAGTCTTAATGTAGTAAATAAATAATAAATATTTAACCTTTGATATATGTTTAATAAAAGAGTTTGAGATATATGTTAATATGAACTTTTTTGTTTATTTTGTGTTAGTGAACAAATATCTATTTTTTTTTTTTTTGTTTCTGGTGGCTCTACAGACCTTGTAGATATTTGGCAGCCTGAACCAGCCTTCTCCACCTCTGCCTATCTTGGGCTACTGCTTTCCAGTTTGCGGCATGAAGCTCAGACGTATCTTTGTTTATCCTATCTATCCATCTGGTTTTTGGCCTCTCACGTGCTCTCTTGCCTACTACTTTGGCATTCATTGGTGTGTAAAGGCGTCCTGATGGATTGCTACGAGCTACATATCCCGCCCATCTTAAGTTCCTTCCCTTCATGTCATGAGATATTGACTGACCCGGTTCTTTCAGCAGTTCTTTATTGTTCCTTCTCCTCCAGGTGTCAAGGTTCTGGTCCCATATAGGTCCTGTTATCCTACGTAGAACTTTTCTTTCGAATCTCTCAATTCTGACTTCTAATGTGCCGGTTAGGGCCCAGGTTTCAGAACCGTACAGCAGAACTGGCTTAATCACGGCGGTGTACACCCTTATTTTTAGATTTCTGAAGATTTTTCTGGATTTCAGTACCCTCGGAGGAGAAAAGAAAGATCTGTTTGCACTTGTTATTCGCTGTTCTATCTCTGTTAGTTGATCATTTATTGAGGTTATTGTGGATCCGAGGTATTTGAATCTGTCTACTTTCGGGAATGACTTAGAGTCCAAGCAGATCATGTTATTAGGGTGGATGTTTAGGCTAACTATCGGCTAACCGATTTGCTCAGCTTCGTTTAATAGAGTCCGAGCGAATCTCTCAATATCCTCTTGGTTACTTCCGAGAACAGCTATATCGTCCGCATATGCTAGGAGTTATAGTCTGTGGGCCAGACGCCCTTACCGTGCACCCCCCCCCCCCCACATCCCTATAAATTGCATATCGTTGTGTTCCTTGTAACAATTTATTAAAAAAAAGCCAATGTTCCCACAAAAAAAAGTGAACGCACTGCCCCAAAATGGCGTCCAAAGATGGCGGATTGACGACTTTGACTTTAGTTAGTTTTTTGGTCACTGAGAATCAGCATTTGGCTTAATTTCCTCATAGTTGGTCTTTTATTAAAGCTGAATAGTTATAGAATAATAAAACATGAAGAAATATTAAAAAATAATTGACTTAGGCGATGAAAAACACTACTAAAGTCAATTTTTTCAACAAAAATTTTTTCAAGTTACAAATCAAGCGTCGTTTGTAATTAAACGGCCAACAATAACGCAAAACGTGCTGAAATAAACCATCTGGAGAATATATTTCTCTTTCTAAAACGCTGATTATGTTTTAGAAATGTTTAAGCAGTTCCGTACAAAATGCACTTATGCGGCAGAACAGCGGTACTGGCGTGGGTGCCTACAGGCCTCTACCACACCATTCAGTGCCCATAAATGGCTTAGTTATAGTGATATAATAGCATTTTTGGTACATTATATTGATTTTATTAACGAACAAATATTAATGCAATAATTTAATTGTAAAAAAAAAATTTTAATTAAAAAAAAAATGTATTATTATTTTTTTTTAATTTAACCTTTTTAAATTTAGTAGATTTTTAATTCAAAAGGTTATGCAACATTTATTGCATGTTTTTCGTTTTTGAGTTGACGAGGAGTCTCCAAAGGGTAGGATATGAAGCAAGAATACGCAAATGCGAGGGAAAGACGGCAAATTGACAGTATCAAAAGAAAAGATCC